TCGATTTTTCGTAATTTTAATGATGTTGCCCCTTTCCAAATTTTCGAAAAATGGCTTCGCAGAAAAGTAACCTGAATCCAGCACCTCTAAGCCCATAACTTTTCTTACAGGCATCCGATTTGAAAGTGGCATACTTCTAAATTATTGTGTTTATATTCTCTAAAAATCTGTGTTTTCAGCTTGATTTGTATTTTTGGGTCGATTTTTCGTAATTTTAATGATGTTACTACCCCTTTCCAAATTTTCGAAAATGGCTTTGCAGAAAAGTCACTTAAAACCTGCAGTTCTAAGCCCATAACTTTTCTTACAGACATCCGATTTCAAAGTGGCATACTTCTAAATGATTGTAATTTAATTCTCTAAAGATCTGTGTTTTCAGCTTGGTTTGAAATTTGGGGTCGATTTTTCGTAATTTTAATGATGTTACCCCTTTCCAAATTTTCGACAATTGGCTTCCCAGAAAAGTCACTTAAATCCAGCATCTCTAAGCCCATAACTTTTTTACAGACATCCGATTTCAAAGTGGCATACTTCTAAATGATTGTAATTTAATTCTCTAAATATCAGCTTGGTTTGAAATTTGGGGTCGATTTTTCGTAATTTTAATGATGTTAAACCTAAAACCGGCACTTCTAAGCCCATAACTTTTTTACAGACATCCGATTTCAAAGTGGCATACTTCTAAATGATTGTAATTTAATTCTCTAAAAATCTTTGCTTTCAGCTTGGTTTGAAATTTGGGGTCGATTTTTTGTAATTTTAATGATGTTGCCCCTTTCCAAATTTTCGAAAAATGGCTTCGCAGAAAAGTAACCTGAATCCAGCACCTCTAAGCCCATAACTTTTCTTACAGGCATCCGATTTGAAAGTGGCATACTTCTAAATTATTGTGTTTATATTCTCTAAAAATTTGTGTTTTCAGCTTAATTTGTATTTTTGGGTCGATTTTTCGTAATTTTAATGATGTTACTACCCCTTTCCAAATTTTCGAAAATGGCTTTGCAGAAAAGTCACTTAAAACCTGCAGTTCTAAGCCCATAACTTTTCTTACAGACATCCGATTTCAAAGTGGCATACTTCTAAATGATTGTAATTTAATTCTCTAAAGATCTGTGTTTTCAGCTTGGTTTGAAATTTGGGGTCGATTTTCGTAATTTTAATGATGTTACCCCTTTCCAAATTTTCGAAAATGTGCTACCCAGAAAAGTCACCTAGAACCAGCACCTCTAAGCCCATAACTTTTCTTACAGGCATCCGATTTCAATGTGGCATACTTCTAAATTATTGTGTTTATATTCTCTAAAAATCTGTGTTTTCAGCTTGGTTTGTATTTTTGGGTCGATTTTTCGTAATTTTAATGATGTTACCCCTTTCCAAATTTTCGAAAATTGGATTCCCAGAAAGCCACCTGAATCCAGTACCTCTAAGCCCATAACTTTTCTTACAGGCATCCGATTTGAAAAAGGCATTCTTCTAAATTATTGTGTTTATATTCTCTAAAAATCTGTGTTTTTAGCTTGGTTTGTATTTTGGGGTCGATTTTTCGTCATTTTAATGATGTTGCCGCTTTCCAAATTTTCGAAAAATTACTTCGCAGAAAAGCCACCTCAATCCAGCACATCTAAGCCCATAACTTTTCTTTCAGGCATCCGATTTCAAAGTGGCATACTTCTAAATTATTATGTTTATATTCTCTAAAAATCTGTGTTTTCAGCTTGGTTTGTATTTTTGGGTCGATTTTTCGTAATTTTAATGATGTTACCCCTTTCCAAATTTTCGAAAATTGGCTTCCCAGAAAAGTCACCTAAAACCAGCACCTCTAAGCCCATAACTTTTCTTTCAGGCATCCGATTTCAAAGTGGCATACTTCTAAATTATTGTGTTTATATTCTCTAAAAATCTGTGTTTTCAGCTTGGTTTTTACTTTTGGGTCGATTTTTCGTAATTTTAATGATGTTACCCCTTTCCAAATTTTCGAAAAATTACTTCCCAGAAAGCCACCTGAATCCAGCACCTCTAAGGCCATAACTTTTCTTTCAGGCATCCGATTTCAAAGTGGCATACTTCTAAATTATTGTGTTTATATTCTCTAAAAATCTGCTTTTTCAGCTTGGTTTGTATTTTTGGGTCGATTTTTCGTAATTTTAATGATGTTACCCCTTTCCAAATTTTCGACAATTGGCTTCCCAGAAAAGTCTCTTAAATCCAGCATCTCTAAGCCCATAACTTTTTTACAGACATCCGATTTCAAAGTGGCATACTTCTAAATGATTGTAATTTAATTCTCTAAATATCAGCTTGGTTTGAAATTTGGGGTCGATTTTTCGTAATTTTAATGATGTTACCCCTTTCCAATTTCTCGAAAATGTGCTAAACAGAAAAAGTAACCTGAATCCAGCACCTCTAAGCCCATAACTTTTTTTCAGGGATCCGATTTCAAAGTGGCATACTTCTAAATTATTGTGTTTATATTTTCTAAAAATCTGTGTTTTCAGCATGGTTTGTATTTTGGGGCCGATTTTTGTCATTTTAATGATGTTGCCGCTTTCCAAATTTTCGAAAAATTACTTCGCAGAAAAGCTACCTGAATCTGAAATCTGTATTTTTAGCTTGGTTTGTATTTTTGGGTCGATTTTTCGTCATTTTAATGATGTTGCCCCTTTCCAAATTTTCGAAAATTGGCTTCCCAGAAAAGTCACCGAAAACAAGCACCTCTAAGCCCATAACTTTTTTTACAGACATCCGATTTCAAAGTGGCATACTTCTAAATGATTGTAATTTAATTCTCTAAAAGCTGTGTTTTTAGCTTGGTTTGAAATTTGGGGTCGATTTTTCGTAATTTTAATGATGTGGCCCCTTTCCAAATTTTCGTAAAATGGCTTCGCAGAAAAGCCACCTGAATCCAGCACCTCTAAGCCCATAACTTTTCTTACAGGCCTCCGATTTCAAAGTGGCATACTTTTAAATTATTGTGTTTATATTCTCTAAAAATCTGTGTTTTCAGTTTGGTTTGTATTATTCGTCATTTTAATGAAAAATGGCTGCGCAGAAAAGTCACCTAAAGCCAGCACCTCTAAGCCCATAACTTTTCTTACAGGCATCCGATTTCAAAGTGGCATACTTCTAAATTATTGTGGTTATATTCTCTAAAAATCTGTGTTTTCAGCTTGGTTTGTATTTTTTTGTCGATTTTTCGTAATTTTAATAATGTTACCCCTTTCCAAATTTTCAAAAATGGCTTTGCAGAAAAGTCACCTAAAACCTGCACTTCTAAGCCCATAACTTTTATGACAGACATCCGATTTCAAAGTTGCATACTTCTAAATGATTGTAGTTTAATTCTCGAAAAATCTGTGTTTCAGATTGGTTTGAAATTTGGGGTCGATTTTTCGTAATTTTAATGATGTGGCCCCTTTCCAAATTTTCGTAAAATGGCTTCGCAGAAAAGCCACCTGAATCCAGCACCTCTAAGCCCATAACTTTTCTTACAGGCATCCGATTTCAAAGTGGCATACTTCTAAATTTTTGTGTTTATATTCCCTAAAAAACTCGTGTTTTCAGCTTGGTTTGTATTTTTGGGTCGATTTTTCGTAATTTTAATGATTTACCCCTTTCCAAATTTTCGAAAATGGCTTTGCAGAAAAGTCACCTAGAACCAGCACCTCTAAGCCCATAACTTTTCTTTCAGGCATCCGATTTCAAAGTGGCATACTTCTAAATTATTATGTTTATATTCTCTAAAAATCTGTGTTTTCAGCTTGGTTTGTATTTTTGGGTCGATTTTTCGTAATTTTAATGATGTTACCCCTTTCCAAATTTTCGAAAATTGGCTTCCCAGAAAAGTCACCTAAAACCAGCACCTCTAAGCCCATAACTTTTCTTTCAGGCATCCGATTTCAAAGTGGCATACTTCTAAATTATTGTGTTTATATTCTCTAAAAATCTGTGTTTTCAGCTTGGTTTGTATTTTTGGGTAGATTTTTCGTAATTTTAATGATGTTGCTGCCCCTTTTCCAAATTTTCGAAAAATGGCTTCCCAGAAAAGTCACCTAAAACCAGCACCTCTAAGCCCATAACTTTTCTTACAGGCCTCCGATTTCAATGTGGCATACTTCTAAATTATTGTGTTTATATTCTCTAAAAATCTGTGTTTTCAGCTTGGTTTGTATTATTCGTCATTTTAATGAAAAATGGCTGCGCAGAAAAGTCACCTAAAGCCAGCACCTCTAAGCCCATAACTTTTCTTACAGACATCTGATTTCAAATTGGCATACTTCTAAATGATTGTATTTTAATTCTCTAAAAATCTGTGTTTTCAGCTTGGTTTGTATTTTGGGGTCGATTTTTCGTACTTTTAATGATGTTGCGCCTTTCCAAATGAAAATAGCTTTGCAGAAAAGTCACCTAAAACCTGCACTTCTAAGCCCATAACTATTCTTACACGATCCTGCAAAATCCATCGGACGGATCGTTTTGAAATTATGCACAGTTTTTCTCAACTAAATTCCTCAGGTAACGTTCTCGAGTTTTTTTTTTTGTTTAAATATATTATTTTTAGAGCAACAAATATCCCGACGTTTTAGGCGAAAATCGGTGTTTTTGACTTTCAAGTGCTTTAAAAAATCGAAAAAAAATTAAAAGAATAAAAACTCGACAGCGTTACCTGAGGAATCTTGTTCTTTAACTAATGCAATTGGATTTTTTTATTTCGGATGATTCTGTGACCGGTTATCGTGTACACCGCAAAACATCTTTTTTTCGAGGCGCCGCCGGAGATTGCCTGTATCTCAGTGAATTTTTAAAATTTTTGGAAGAAAAAAAATCACACATATTGTTTAAATGTTGCCCATTCACATGCTGAGAACAAAATTGAGCTGAGACTATCCGTATCGGCAATAAATTTTTTTTAAAAATGTCACATTTTTCACCAAATTAACTAAACCCCTCCTTAAAAACATTAAAATTCAAGCAGTAAATCCTAGAAGTGGCGCGAAATATCTTCAGTCTCAATCAAGCAGTGCGCAATATTTTAGTATATTTTTTTTTTGGATTTTTCTTGTTTGACTCCACGGTTACACTGCACACGTGTTCTGTCAAAACAAAAAATATGGTAAGAAATGTGAATCTTGATTAAATCCTTTTTAATATTAGAATCAATTTGCAGCGCAAAAAGCAAGCTGATGAAATACCCGGGTTTCCATCGCTAGACAACGATGGCGTTTCCGGCGGTAAGGGGGACGACATACTCAGAACTAAGCCCAAGTCTAAGAAGAGCGGAGGCTTCCAGTCGATGGGTCTGGGGTTCGATTTGATAAAAGGCATAACTAAGCGCGGTTACAAGGTACCGACTCCCATCCAGCGGAAGACGATTCCCCTGATCCTGGAGGGACGCGATGTAGTGGCTATGGCCAAGACGGGCTCCGGCAAGACGGCCTGCTTCTTGATTCCGCTTTTTGAAAAGCTGCAGCGGCGGGAGCCCACAAAAGGAGCCCGCGCCCTGATCTTATCGCCCACGCGTGAGCTGGCTGTGCAAACGTACAAGTTTGTTAAGGAGCTTGGGCGCTTTATGGAGCTTAAGACAATTTTGGTGTTAGGTGGTGACTCCATGGACTCGCAGTTCTCGGCTATACACACATGCCCCGACGTCATTGTCGCCACGCCGGGCCGTTTCCTCCATTTGTGCGTAGAAATGGATTTGAAGCTAAATTCTATAGGTAATCTTATCATTTAAGGACATATAAAACAAAAAACATGGACTAAAGTTGTTGATTCCACAGAGTATGTCGTGTTTGATGAAGCTGATCGACTGTTCGAGATGGGCTTTGGCGAGCAGTTGAACGAAACACTGCACAGATTGCCGTCCTCCCGGCAGATGGTGATGTTTTCGGCCACGCTGCCAAAGCTGTTGGTGGACTTTGCCCGTGCCGGATTAAACGACCCTGTTCTTATTCGCTTGGACGTCGAGTCAAAGCTCCCAGACGCGCTGGCTCTGAAGTTTCTTTACTGCCGGCCGGACGACCGCTACACAGCTCTCGTCGTTCTGCTGAAATACGTAATTCCTGTGGTGTCGCAGACCGTGGTGTTTGCTGGCACGCAGCATCATGTGGAACTGATTTCATACATTCTCACTGAGGCTGGAATTTCCAACACCTCGGTTTACTCCAGCTTAGATCCGGCTGCTCGCAAAATAAACACAGCCAAGTTTGTGAACAAAAAGGTTTCGGTGCTAATTGTTACGGACGTGGCGGCGCGCGGAATCGACATACCCAGCTTAGACTTTGTGGTGAACCTGCATTTTCCGGGTAAACCAAAGTTGTTTGTACACCGTGTCGGACGTTGTGCTCGAGCTGGGCGCACCGGTACCGCATACTCGATTTTTTCTACCGACGACACAGCCCACCTTCTGGATCTTCACTTATTCTTAAACAGGCCTTTCAATATCAATGACAGCTCGGCAATGGGAACCATTCCGCAAGATTTACTTGAGGAAGAGCACCTCACAGTGACTGATATCAAGAAGAGCCACCACATTGTAAGTTTAATCTTCATTTTCGTGGCGATTTCTATTGATTTGTATAATTTAAACCAATGCAGGCCGGAGTATTGCGCACCAGCGAAAACGCTTACAAGAAATACTTGAGTTCGCGACCAGTGGCATCAACGGATGCCAATGCACGTGTGAAGAAAATTAAGTTCTACGCGCTCAAGCCTTTGGAGGATTTCTTTACAGCTGCGCCCGTTCTCTCCCAGGCTGCTGAAGTTAGCGGACAATCGGAAGAGTCCCAGGCAAAGGTGGCTGCAGCAGAGCGCAAGTTGCAGAGCGAAAAGCACGATATACTGGTCAAAATGCGCAGTTTCCGACCAGGTGGTGTAAGTCTTTCTTAGATTTTATGACAGCAAATTATTTCCAATCGAGTTTATCCTTTTAGACCGTTTTTGAACTTAACACCACGCAAAAGTCTACCCAATTTATCGTAATGAAAGAGAAACGTTCCCAACACGCGGAAGTAATTCAAAAGTTTAGGCAGCAGCGCGCAGACGAGGACATCGACGAGGCTAAAAAAGAGGCAGAGACCCAAAGGACAAGTTCAGCAAGAATCCCAACCGCCGACGAGGAAGCTATCAGCAGTACATTCAATAAAGTCGTTGCACCCAAAAGGCTTCAAAACATGGACGCTCTGTACAAGGATAAGCCAAAGAAAAAGAAGCGCAAGATAAACAGCAAGGACGACGAGCATTATGTGCCTTACCAGTCGGCCGACAAGCACACGGAGGATGGTCTGGCTATCAACACTTTCGAACGACAGGCGCAGAATGCTGAGTTTTCTGTGTCGGATCGCAACTCATCCCAGGAGGTTAAACACAAGCCTGGGCTCAAGAAGTGGGACCGCATTAAGAAGAAAATGGTATCAGTGCAGGATCCTCGAGCCAACAAGATTCGTACTGAGTCCGGTGCATGGATTCCCGCTTCCTTCAAAACGGGTCGTTACACCGAATGGAAGGAGAAGTCCAAGATCGAGGACCAGCTGCAGCGTGAAAACGCAGGCACCGATGACGACAATGCTAAGCCTCTGAGCCATGCCCAACGATATCCAGTCAGCCGACATGCTCGGCACAACGTGAAGCTTGAACTGAAAAAGCGTCTCAGCGGCAACGACAAGGAGATGCGACGCCCTGAGCAGATTGTGAAGTCCCGGATGCGCCTGGAATTCATCAAGAAGCGCAACGAAGACAATGCGGAGCGAAAGAACGAGAACCGCAAACGCAGCATGCGAAAAGGGCAGCGTCCGAAAGCCCAATCAACTGGTGGGTCCAGGAAAAGAAAATAGGAGTTTGAACAAAGGTTAGTGAATTAGGATAAGCTAAGGCTATTTGACTCCTTATGCCATTACATTCTTGGGCAAAACGTGGCAATCCAAAAAAGTCGTCTGAATCCGGGTAGTGTACATTGCAGTGATTTTTTATTTCCAAGTGTCGATTCGATCCCCTGTCTATCAAGAAAAGCCATTAGCGTAGTCGCTTCCGTTCAATTTAAATGACTTAGTCAACATATAGGCTTGGTGGGCTTGTCCTTTAAATTTATAAAGTGTTTGAAATAGACTCACACAACAGTCAAACGCAGGTAATGTATGTTTGGAAGCCGTTGAACACGCACGTGTCCTAATAGAAGCGTTAGACAACATTTTAGGTCAGAAGTAAAGCTTGTATAATTCGGGTGACCAGGGTAAATAGCGAACTCTAGTGAAATTAAATAGCCATATGTAGCATCCCCTGCCGCCATCTGCCGACTGGCCCATTTTGGAAATAGGTCTTGGCAAAGTAAGCCTGACCCTGACCATGTGCTTGCCGTGGGACGTGTCAGGGGTGTGTTTACCACGTGTAGTCTATTAGGCGAAGGTACTCTCGGGCTCTGCTTCAGGCGCGCCCACGTCCGATGACAGACACATCCACTGCGTACTTCAAGCAAATACTGCACGACGGGAACCGACCCTTGTTCAGCTGCCTGCTCACACCCAAAAATAAAAACAACTGCCTTTGTTAATCCATCTTCTTTAATTTGGAAAAGATCCCTAATCTGTTGTGTGTGGCTAAGCACCACCGTGAAGGCAGCGCATTGTTGCTATTGCCCGCAGATATTTACGTAATTGGGTGTTATTAGAATTTACTGCCAAACAAATCTACTGGTCTACTGCTTTAATCACCAAAGCGGAGGAGAAAATACGCTAGATGCCATAGACAAACCCACTTTTTTTGCTTACTTTATGCCTACTGTCGGTACTGATTTCTTTCTTTCTCATTGACAGAGGCTTTCGGCTGTTCCGCCCTTTGATGCGAGTGTGCTGATTAACTGTGTTCCCCGTATGAGACACTCAAAATATATGTTCATCAGAAGCTGCATCGCATCAGTGGGACTCGATTGTCTTTGGATTTCGAAAAGTGTTTTTATAAAAATACATGATGAAATGTGTGAAGTGCGACATCTTTGAAATAAGGATCGGGGTGGCGATGTTTAATTGCCGACGAGTGTGGGATAGAGACACCATAAGGGAATAAGGTATGCCATAAACAAATTTTGAATACGAAATTGGAACAGCATTTAAATTCGGGAAACCTCCCCTCTCGATAAAATGGATTGTTCCAAAAATACTTTGACGCGCATATGGTATCCATCTACGACCGTGGGATTCCCTCTGGACAAGTTTTCAATCTGGCGCAGGTCTGCAGTGCATTCCGCTGCGGCCTTTTGAGCTGCAAAGCGAACCGAATGTGGTGCACGCCACATATGCTTGTGGAGAAACTCCCATGCGCCTAATTGCTTTTGCCACTTCGTTTTCGCAGTTCGAGGGGTGCCCAAAATAGACTTGGTTTTTATTCCCGCCCATGTTTCTTGAGATGGTTCCAAGTACTTGTTAAGGGTCCCGGGTCGGCCCACAGAATCAGATTCTAGGAATGCGCTGTAAAGTCTGGGCTATGACGTAGTCGCTAGACTGCACTTGGCCCGAAGTTTAAAAGTCTGAGAGTAAGGCGGATCAATAGCTTATTGTGAGGTATTCTACTAAAGTTTTCCCCATTGGTCTTCCCCCAGAAAAAAGCGATTTTTCAACTCAAAGGGACATTTCTTTTCCGCTTTGCAGCCACTTGAAACGAGCTGCTGGTGCCGGCTTTCGCTCTTGACCTGTCATAGATCCGGGGGCATAGATGCAATGACGCACATGTTTACAAATTGAAATCATTTCTTCGCCGTGAAACCGCTTGGAATGTGTGAAATGTTCCCTGATCAACCTTGTGTATACAAACATATTCTGTGTTCGTTTATACATTATTACTCTGAGTATTCCATTGGAAACATTTCCATGATACACTACTTTATTATAGCGTTTAATGTATTTGGTCGTAATTTTTTCGAAGTATGTAAGTCTACGTCATGAATGGAGTTTCTAATGACATCACTCCAAATTAAAACTTCAAGTTTACTGATTGTGTGTGAGGTGCAGGTAGCCCAATTTTTCGTTGATCGGTTAAATTTTCTATACTGCTTTGTAAGCCGCGAGCAATTCATCTGCATCTAGACAACTATACTATACATTTAATTAGGTCTGACAATTAAAATAAAAATAGTACCAGCAAAGAACATAAGCTATTGAAATCCAAAAATTAATTTTAAAAATATAAGATTTGAGCAATATCCCCTGACGATATGTGAGGAATCCTAAAAAAAAGGGGGGAAATATAGAAAATCCATTAAGAATAACCCAAAGTTTTTCCCCTGATTTGCTATCATAACAATTTGTTTTCGTGTGTACCAATATTATAAATGTGAAAATTGCATACACAAATTACTTAATTAATTGAAAATGTACTCAAATCTGAATTAAAAATATCTAAAGACCTCTTAAAAATCTTGCCGATAACTAAATGGCCGAGAATAATAATAACTATGACTAAATTTCTGCTACCTTTGTTTTACAAATGTACTCAAACGAGGATGGAAGTCATTTTTCAAATACTTGTCATACAAGTAACCGGAGATTAAAAAGATTATTTAAAGATCGGAATGGTAGTAGTTAGGGCATTAATACGAATTTAAGGATCCGCCTGCATCCCGAGCAAGTGCGCTGCTGTGTTTAGGGATGAGATTGGGGAACAATCCCAGCGTTGTGCGTCCACATGTCTATCTGTGCGGACGATGAAATCTAAGGACAGGCAATCCAAGTCAATCAAATAAATGGGGCGCTGGGGGAAAACGGTCCCTCTGCGGCGGTATGCAGCACAATTTACATCGACGGACTCGCTTTGCAGCGACCAATTTAGAGATTGTTGAACTCACGCTATGCCCGAAGGGTCTAATCTACGCCTCGAGATCTCAATCTTTGGGCATGTGTGCCGCTAAAGAGCTGGTCATGCTGTCGTGTTTGCTTGTGCTGCCTAATTTAGGCTGCTCAGACAATTGCACAATTTACTGAAGAATGCGTCTAAGCGTCACTTAAAAACGCATTATTCAATTTATGCTGTCCTCCAGATGCAAACGAAAGCGGAGCGTCATAGAGTCTTCGCTGGGAGACTCCACCAATTTCTTTCTAAGAGCTGCTCAAGTCAATAAAATATTTTATTTATATATATACTTATTCATAGAATAGAAAACTGCCGATTTTAAATATATTTAATGAAGTTTCGGGAGTTACCAATTAAACCATTAGAAGACAATAAATTTAATTAGGGGTGACAATAAATAAAAATAGTACCGGCAAAGAACATAAGATATTAAAATCAAAAAATTAATTCTAAAAATGTAAACTTGTGAATTAAAAGGAAATTGCTATAAATATATATTTTGAATATATCCGCAATTTATTTAAATAAAAAACGTCGTTGAGCAGTGTGACCGCAGAGAGCCTCAATGCCGAACTCGTTAAGACGATGAATCGTAAAATTTTTGTTATATTTTTCGCAGTCGGACGGGGTCACACTCTTTTACGCGGTCACACTGGCATTCGAAAAAAAAACCCGATTGCGTTGGCCGTGAGGACGCCTGAACGTCGCGTAATTTGTTTTCGTAGTGGAATACCAAGAAAGCAGGAGTGGAAAAAACCGAATTTTTTAATTTTGCGTTCTTGCTTGCATCCAAAGTCCGAAAACACATTCTAGTGGAGCAGGCTCCTGTTCCTTTAAATTTATATTGTATACACACGGCAAGGGCGCGTCTCTTTTTGTTCCTTCGTGTGTGTGTATGTGTGTGTCTGACGTCGCCTTGTCTGTGTCTCGCCCCTCGGCCAAATAAAAGCGAGCGGAGAGTCCGCCCGCTAGTTAAAGTCGATGTACAGCTTATTTATATGTAAGAGACACCCGAGATCGGGAAGGAAACAAGCAGTATGGTGCTAAAATATTGAAACAAGTGTCGTCGAATTGTGATTTCTCGTCGAGTGAATTTTCGCACGCACACACAGCCAGTGTTGCTCTCAAACACATACGCGTACGCATACAAGCGGAGACCGAAACGAGATTTTGCAAGTCGCGTCTATGTGTAGTGGTGGCTGTAGTGTTGGTGCTTGTGCAACTACAAAATTCAATTGTTTATTGCTGGGCATAACTGGGACCCTGTACCCCACCCCCTTTACCCCACCACCAAACAAAAACGCAAAGCAAACCGAGAGTGTGCAGGCCCAGCAAGTAAGCTGCATTAGGTACCGTATTCACCTGCCACAGCGTCGGCAATAATAATAGGAATTTCTACTAGCCGCTGTTTGTGATTTCCAACTCGAAGAGCCACAAGTGAAAGTGGCAGACTCTACTTATCTTTGCTAGTTGCCATCGAGTCTTCGATACCCAGTGGATTACATCGCTTCTCCGCCCCTCAGACTGGACAAAAAGATACTGTGAGTATTTCTTCTCTGGACTACATGAAACTTAATACTACTCTTCGCGCAAGATTAGGCATTAATCACCATTATTATCTCGTCCTTGTTGTTTTGTTTTCTGTGCTCCCAGCCACGGGCTTCCTTCCGCCCCCCAAAGACTCTTTCTAATCTGACTCGGTGCGCAACTTGATGCAACTATTGCACAGAAGAATGCGAAGGCATTGCCAATAAAGTCACGGCAGACACGGAAGTCTGACATTTAGACAAGGAGGCCGACTGCCTACGATTAAATTTTGTTCTTTGGGTGTATCTTTAGCGCAACTAAGCTGATTTCAATCCAAGTAAGTCGAGCACTCGTATGTGCTTGAGTCGTTGAACCCTCCGCAGAACCGCGGGCAAATGCCAGTGCGTCGCCACGCAGAGACCCAGTGCGAATGCCAAAGTATAAACAAGTTCGGGAAACAAGAGTGTACCGCTCCCATAAGCTACTCTTAACTTCGATTCGAATCTCTCCAAATGGCGTTCGTTTTCGTTTCGCACCGGCATTGGGAAGGAGATTTTCAGATACCTTAGATATCTTCTCGCCCAGATCGAACATTTTATGAAGCGATTGTTGTAACCGGTAACGAGTACAAGGGGAAGAGGCAAGCGGAGCAGGCAGCGGGACTGGGCAGTTAAAGTGTAATTACTCTTTCGAGTGTCGATAGCTGTGACATAAGCGCTGCAACCACCGCTATCAGTCTACCTGCCGCAAGCCCACTGCCGCTGCAGGTTGTGTCGGCAGACACTTGCCAAATAGTTGAGTTAGTTAACCACGGAAAGCATCTGAAACGGGAATTCGATTCGGAGCAGAAGGCAACGAGTTTGGATAGGTTTCCGATCACTAATCGAGGCAAACACTGTGTGGCTTCAGGCTCGTCAGCGCAAACCGAAGCTGAAAACTAGTTGAGGTTGAAGCGTGGCTATTTTGGTTTCTCCGCTTGCTTTCGGGGCTGTTTTGTTTGTGTAGCAAGCGGAAATAAAAATTGATAAATAATTTATTGACAAACAGAAAGTGTCTTGTTGGGGAGATACAGCCTCCGAATAGGCAGACTTCTCACTATCAATTTAGCTTGGTGCAGTTTATTATGTTATTTAAGTTTATCCGGATTGATTTTTAAGTATTGGCTGATCATTGTTTTAGTTGAAAGGTGACGCAATATATACGAAAACAAGGTGAATTTATTTGTTTTTGTGAAAATATATATTTAACAGCCCAAACCAGCTGGGTAAAAAAACCCCTAACGAATTTTTTGTTCACAAGAGAGCATTTGGCATTTGAATGAGGCGCAGTAACAACAGGAAGTACTTGCCCGTCTTTCAGCGATTTGTTTCTTCCCCAAGCGAAATGAAAAAAAGACCAAGGCGGTGCAAGAAGTGAAAGCGGTTGCAGAGTTATTGTTTGCATATTCCCATTTACAGAAGCCCACGCGACAGAGTTTTGATTACGAGAGAATAATAATGTACAAGGTCCAATCTACCTAAACCAGCTGGCTGACGCCTCCACTTTGGGGCTGCTCACATTACCAGCTAATTACTGTCACTGGGTCAGTCAACCACCGGAAAGGGAAACAGAAAAATGTAATGGGAAAAGAAGAAAAGTTGTTGAGCAGTCACAGGTTCAGAATGTGTGTTTTGGCGGAGCTACAGGTGAACGAACGGAACAACTTCCAGCTGGTCCGATCCATGAGGGCAATAGCCCCACTCCTTACTATCGTTTTCGGCGTCGTGGCGATGGACGTTGGTCGTAGAGGGGCCGTCGCACTGCAGCTCGTCCCTTCTGGCCATGCTGACTACGGCGCAGCAATCGGCGACGCCGAGTTTTCCTTCGCCTGCGAGCCACGCGGTTCAAGATGCGCTGAGGAAACGGGAGGAATGTAAGCTGATGTAATGGTCTGGTTAACTGTCTTACTTCTGGTTCGAACAACCTCTTCTTGGCGTCGCTCAGTGCGTTCCATTGGACGAGGCCCTCCTGGAGTAAGCGGCGCAGATCGTAGCTGGGAAAGACTTTTCGCTTTAAATAGCGGAGGAAGTTGAGGTAGGGCAGCGGCACCACTTGGCCAGGATCGTCCACAACCCCGGAGGCCCGGATCAGTTTCGCTCTGGGGCGCGCCATAGTGCGTGCACCAGGAACGCTTGGATTAACTGAAGACTCGGCTTCTTAACCCAATCGCACAGTAATATCCAAACCAGAAACCCAAGATGTACTGTCATGACCGATGTGGGGAGTGCTGCCTAGTTGAGGGAGTTGAGTGGTAAACTCAAGGTTGCTTTAACCGAATTCCAATTTCCTGACGCAGTGCCTTATAAAAAGTAGCTGCGATCTACAAACAGAAGTCAACCGCCCAAATTACCCATCTCATCGCAAAGATCTCGGTGGTAGCCCACACAAAAACAAAAACCGCTGCCCCTATATAGGCACATTATCTGCTCACGACGCCCACAAATTCATCACGACTTGTGCATTTAAAGTCCGAAGCGCGACTGCTCCCATTCCCTCTGTTTTTATACCCTTGCAGAGGGTATTATAATTTTGGTCAAAAGTGTGCAACGCAGTGAAAGAGACATCTCCGACCCTATAAAGTATATATATTCTTGATCAGGATCACCTCCTGAGTTGATATAGCCATGTCCGTCTGTCCGTCTGTCCGTCTGTCTGTCCGTCTGTCTGTTTCTACGCGAACTAGTCTCTCAGTTTTAAAGATATCGAATTCAAACTTTGCACACACCCTTCGCAGTATATAAGTCGGAACGGCCGGGATCGGCCGACTATATCCTATAGCTGTCATATAACTGATTAATCGGAAATGCCATAACTCTGCTGTTTGTTAAGTTAGGAAGTTGGGACTTTCTATGTGTTTTATATTTGGCCAATCAATACGACGTACCAAATTTCATAAGGATCGGCCGACTATATCCTATAGCTGCTATATAACTGATTGATCGGAAATGCCATAACTTTGGTGTTTGTTAAGTTAGGAAGTTGGGATTTTCTATGGGTTTTATTTTTGGCCAATCAATCCGACCTACCAAATTTCATAAGGATCGGCCGACCAATCCTACAGCTGCCATAAAACTGAACGATTGGAAATGCCATAACTTTGGTGTTTTTAAAGTTGGGATTTTTTATGAGTATTAAGAATGCATCATATGAATAATTTTGGAGAATATAATTTGCAGAATATTCTGCAAGGGTATTTCAACTTCGGCTCCGCCCGAAGTTAGCTTTCCTTTCTTGTTGTTTCTGTGTCTGTCGCCCTCGCCAACAGCGATCATTTGTTCATGCCCAACTGAATGGGATCTGCTTTTGAGAACCACTGATAAGGTACTTTGTGCATCCGTCCGATTGAAGTCCGTGCAGGGTGTGCACGCATTCTGAGACACAAATAAGATTTATTTTTAGGCGTTGAAATGGGGCACAATTGTGTGGGCAAGGGCAGGATAGTCGGAAGTTGATTATTTCTGCCTAGAAACTCCTTTTCGTGGATAAACCTCTTCCCTAGAGCTTTTTTTTTATTTATCGCTTCATTTAATTACAGTCTTGGCTCAGAATTTGGGAAGTTAAAGCTTTCCTCACAGACACAATTAAGGAGAGGTTGTTGGTGGTCACGCACCTCTCCCAATCAAGGCACAAGCGTGCAATCAATTTCGCTAGACGCAGAACTTTTGTCGATTGTAAACGTTGTAAAGGGTTATCAGCTTTAATTACTTTAAATTTTCAACTGGTGAAATGAAAAGAGAAGTATCTCCGCAAGGGATAGATGTGGAATCGAGTGGAACGATGCAGAGGGCGCTGGGAGCCCCGCTTTTTCTCCGCCCCCTTACTCACCCAATCGTTGTGTAACCCAACTTTCCCCAGCCGAAGATGAGAGAGACCCATTAGGCTTTCCCTCCGCACTCCGGGCTACTGCCACCTCTGTAATGCAACGGAAACTTAATGTTGTGTGACAATGCCGCTCATAATGGATTCCACTACTCGACTGAGAAATATTTTTTAAGCAAGCTTAATTCGAAGTTTGGGCAAAGGCAAGTGGATTTGCTCAATTATATATTTTATTAACTGATTTAGGAGACTTCTGAACCAAAGTACACAACGAAGTGACCGTGCTCGTTGTCGGTTTGTGAGTACTCCTGCACTGGCCCGAGAAGTGAAAGCTTGATAAGAGCATTCTTTTAGGTAATAAAAACAGGGATAAAAAACTAGTGCCTCTGAAGATTAGATTGTTGTTTGTAAATTGATGAATACTATCACTGTAGGATTGTCCGACCTTCAGTGATATATTTCGGGGCGTCAGCGTATTAATGCCACTTGTTTGCCTTAGGCGACCAATCCAGATATTTTTGACAGTGTCGGGGGAGTTAAAGCATTCAATCGAGCTCAACGTGTTTTTTTTGCGTGACCGGTCTCAGTTTTGTTCAACGCACCATTAATCGTATTTTATTTTTTAAAAGTCATTCAACTAGGTACATGTGAGCTTGTGTACTGTCTTCCTTGTCGTACTGGGTTGACCTTGATAGCGGCGATCAAACAAGCTGGCCAGTCGCTTATATCTCTCAGATGGAGTCGTTTTGAGCAGCAGCAAAAGTATCTGCCTCTAACTACGAATATATATGCGTCTATCTGCGATGTGTCTTGAGCAGTTTGCGGTTTATTAACCGCACAGAGACGGAATGTGAAACTCTGGATTCGTTGTTGCAACCGAGCGTAATATTTGTAACGGCTGCTGCGGCCTCTACTGCGGTTGGGTTCCCAGTGACGATTTCTGTATTTGCAGAGAGTTGGATCGATGGATAAGAAGGGATAGAGGAAGCCCTCTATTATAGTGGCTAAACATTCGAAACCTGCTTCTCTACATACTGAGACAAAACTGGATGAACAACTTTTTGGCTTTCTTTCGCAAAGCCACTCACTCCAGCTGCACTTGATGATCGAGTCGCGTGCCTCTTGCCAATGGCTGATACATGGTTGTTAAATGAGGACCACAAACTCACCGTCTACCTCGACGATTTGTATGTCCAGATTGCGAATATTGTGCGAATTGCACGGCTGCCAATTTTCATATTTGGAACGGTAACGGCCAAACGACCTTCGCCATGAGAAAGTCTTAAAAACTGTGCAGCTACAGTTATTCAACACCTATTACAAGTGGCGCTTAAGTATTTTTTGCATATTTGGCGATCGTGCCGTTTGCCCGACTCTAATGGGCTTCTTAGCCTAAATTTCATATCTATAGCCTTGAAAGCGGAACAGTCGAACTCGCCCTGCGCCTGCGCTTGTAAGTTCGTCTAGGGGTCTCTTTCGGTTTTAAACAAGCCTGCAATCGAACAAATGCTTCGTGGATAATTATCTCATGTGACATTTGTAGATTGGATAGACCGTGCAGCTTGATGCGGAAAAAAATATCGGAAAAACATTCTGCCTCTCAGCTAAATTATGCTGAGAGTACGACCTGCTGCAGAAATTGCAAGTTATCAAATTGAATTAATAACGCTCCAACACTACAGTTAGCATAAAAATGTCTTTTGTTGCACCAAAGTTCGTTGACAGATATCCGCGTGCTCTTTGCGTTGTTAACCAAACTCGGCGTAGATTGCAAAGCTGCCAAAACGCTGGAGCCACCACAGCTGTGTGCTGGGGAGCTGATTTGAGTTGCTTGCGCAAGCTGCAGCTGCTGAGCGCAGTAACCAAACGGCTAAAAAACAGTTATCTTCTTTGTCAGCTTTCATCTTGTGAGACGTTTCTCGGCTTCAAGCCATTGATGACGCGTCCACTTGATGCATTATTTTTTTAGGGAAATGAGTCGGAATGTTCTCTCTGCTCCATTGGCCCGTTTTACCCAGAAGAAGTTATATGAACTTTGTTTGTAGAAGGTGGTCCAAAATAATATCCCGGCAAGGCGGCGGCTTTTATTTTTTTTTTTAAACCGGTTTTCTACAAGTGTGACAATAACTTCCAGCCAAACTAGAGCTCTTCAGGGAACCCAATGAGGAAAATAATTTCGAATTATTCAGATTTAATTAAGCCGCTACCATTGAAAAGTGGCTGCTTGGCGGCTTGCTTTTCTCCGTACACAATTCCTGCATTCACTGGAAGACTCGTTTGTCTCCGTCGTGTAAAAGAGATGCGAGCTCTGATTGATTGCCAGACATCATTGACGGAGTGTATGTCTGGTTTGGCACCTGGGCGTGTCCTTCACCAGAGATAGCGTTGCCCAGCCGGATAAATTTACAAGGAGGGAACCTGGTGTTCTTTTAAATAAATGCTACCTGTAAATACGGGACGATGAAAACGTCGAGCAAAATTAATATCAAAAGGATTTATTCAGATATATAAAAACCAAATAACTTTTTAGCTTTTTATATAGTTTTTCTTAGTTTTTTGTTATTGATATTTTTGACTTGTATGTAACACAAGTCACTTCAAATGGCAAGTAATAAAATGGTTTTCACTGCTGTCAGCTTCAAAAGAGCACATTCCGAGATTGTTTTCTTTTGTGACTGCCTCGCGCTTGCGATAAAACTGCTCATTAATGTCCCAACGCTGTCAGGCGGGCGTGAATCCAAAGGTGCCAGCTGGAATGCTCAGGTCGCATGAATGCTCGAACAGCATTTTGGCCTCATCGTGGCAGTACGGCGGAACGTGGCCGACCGACGAAGGCCTGAACAATTGTGGAATTTTGCATTGGGACCGCAAAAAGTCAAAGCAACTTTAAAACCAGTTTCCAGCTGAAAATGTTTGCTTTTTGGCTTCGGATTGCTATCGAACTAGATTTTTCTCAGATAAGATCGCGAGAAGTAACTAAATAACTGTTCTCCATGTTTTAGTTACAAACAAGAGAGAACGCTATAGTCGAGTGCCTCGACTATTAGATACCCGTTACTCAGCTAAACAACTTAATATAAATATGCCTTCTTGTAATAAATTGACTAGAAATATTAAACATACATACTTATATTGGCTAAACACATACATTCTTTAATAGTATTATGTATATTAAAGTCTAAATGTTTGCACATAGCGAATAGCTTTTTATACCCTTGCAGAGGGTATTATAATTTCAGTCAAAAGTTTGCAACGCAGTGAAGGAGACATTTCCGACCCTATAAAGTATATATATTCTTGATCAGCATCACCAGGAGAGTCGATCTAGCCATGTCCGTCTGTCCGTCTGTCCGTCCGTCTGTCCGTCTGTCCGTCCGTTTCTACGCAAACTAGTCCCTCAGTTTTAAAGCTATCTGCTCGAAACTTTCCCAAAAGTTGTCTTTCTATTGCAGGTAGTATATAAGTCGGAACGAGCCGGATCGGGCGACTATATCATATAGCTGCCATATAACTGAACGATCGGAAAAGCCATAACTTTGGTGTTTTTAAAGATAAGAAGTTGGGATTTTCTATGGGTTTTATTTTTGGCCAATCAATCCGACATACCGAATTTCATAAGGATCGGCCGACTATTACTTATAGCTGCCATATAACTGATTGATCGGAAGTGCCATAACTTTGGTGTTTGTAAAGTTAAGAAGTTGGGATTTTCTATGGGTTTTATTTTTGGCCAATCAATCCGACATACCAAATTTCATAAGGATCAGCCGACTATATCTTATAGCTATCATATAGCTGCCATATAACTGATTGATCGGAAGTGCCATAACTTTGGTGTTTGTAAAGTTAAGAAGTTGGGATTTTCTATGGGTTTTATTTTTGGCCAATCAATCCGACATACCAAATTTCATAAGGATCAGCCGACTATATCTTATAGCTGCCATATAACTGAACGATTGGAAATGCCATAACTTTGGTGTTTTTAAAGTTAGGAAGTTGGGATTTTTTATAAGTATTAAGAATGCATCATATGAATAATTTTGGAGAATATAATTTACAGAGTATTCTGCAAGGGTATATCAACTTCGGCTCCGCCCGAAGTTAGCTTTCCTTTCTTGTTTGAAAGGAGTTATCTTTGCTGGGCAATTGCAACTGTGTACAATGTAAATACATACATATGTATATGTATAAATACACACATACGCCATTGTTTGACTCAGACCGCCAATTTGGCTTACTTGATTTGATTTGCATAGTTCTTGGGATATAGTTCGGTATTGACAAATGAAAACCATCGCAATTTCCTTTAATAGAAATCCTTATCGAGAATTAACGTTGACTCTGTTGAGCACCTTGGCCAGCTGTTCCAAAGTCATCCGTTAGATGGCGCCATAAAAGGCGGAAATGTAGGCGCTAGCCAGGCTAAAGCGTTTAATGGGTTTTTGGGCGTTAGAGTGGGCGTGGCAAACTTTTATTAGGCCAATCGATACTTATTGACGAAACAAATACATATCAATTAAAATTTTCATAATATCAAAACTGTGGCCACAGCTTGTGGCTTATGGGCGTCAGAGGGGGCGTGGCACCATTTTGAAACAAACTTGCGCTGCGTAGGAACTCCTCAAATCTACATGCAAAATGTCAATCTTCTAGCTTTTATAGTTTCCGAGATCTCAGCGTTCATACGGACAGACAGACGGACAGACAGACGGACATGGCTAGTTCGACTCGGCTAGTGATCCTGAACAAGAATATATATACTTTATAGGGTCGGAAACGCTTCCTTCTACCTGTTACATACTTTTGCACGAATACAATATACCCTTTTACTCTACGAGTAACGGGTATAAAAACTGAAGGGTTTCCACCGCTACGTAAATAATTTCGGGGCTGTTGGCGGCGAAAAAATGGATCGCCATATGGAAATGAGAGTCGGTTTACAAGGACAGCTTATAGGACAGCCCTAAAATCAGTAAAAATCTAAATTTTTGATCATGAAATCCATTTAATAAATGTTTACCCTCGAAGCTGTGAGTAAATTATTTTTAGTGGCGTCCGCATTCTTTACTCTGACTTCTTCGCTCATTTATGCGGCCGAAGTTACATAATTTTCATTGTTACACCACCCAGACATTTTTGTGCCTGCGATCCACTTTGCCCTAGTAGCTATCGTTAAACAAGGAGAACATTACCGTCCATCCAGATAGGAGTGTCGGCCGTTTATGCACGCGTGGCTGCTTTAATGAATGACGCACGAATGGAAAAAGGGGCACGAACATAAGAGCATGCCTACTCCCAAGAGGAATTTTACCAAAACCGTACCCAAAGATTGCGAACAAACAGGCCAGTCGAACTGGTATCTCCCGCCCTAGCCAAACCGCTACACACGCCACGCTATAGTTAATGTTTGCTTTTTTAATTAATAAACTTTTCACTTAAATTAATTGGAGACAGCTATTGGAGCCGTAAAATTTAAAAAGAATTCGAATTATTTTTTACAATGTGTTGCAGTTGAAGTGTTGAACATCTTTAGCTGCTGAGAATGGTCAATCACCTTAATTCGTGTGTCATAGACAATAAAAGTATCTTTGCTTTCTTGTTTAGCACTCCTCCCACGTGAATTACAGTCAACGCCAGCACCAACTGTTGGCTGGTAAGCCCAGTGCACATTGAGTTCAGGTCACAAACTCATGAAATTTAAATGTCTCAATGAAAGCTGAACTTCCGTGGGCGGGATGAGGGAAGCTTTGCGAGGATGAATGCTGGACGATGTGGCTATGATAAGACAACAAAGCCGAGGACCAGCCCAGAACAAAGAATATGTCAGGAGTTTTTGGGACAGCACAACCAAAGTGATGCAAGAAAAATGCCGTGCTGTTTCCACGTTTCATTTGCCACTTTCGAACAGGTCAAAAAGAAAAGTGTAACTGTGTTTAATGTGAATGGTCTAAAAGGGAATGTCTCAGGGTTTGTTTGTGGCACACTGACTAAATGGGTCAAGGCAGTGCACAACTATTACTAGCTAAAGGTCATGCCGCTTTTACCAAATATTATATTCGAGCTTTTTAATCATCATTTATTTTCACTTGCCAATGCCTTAGAATACAGACTGATTGTTATTTATATTTAAATTGATCATGCATTTATTTTTATTTTTTGCTGCTTACGACACCCAAAAATACGTTTGTATTTACATATGTATATGCGTTTGCTTAGTATGTATTTCGAAAAATATAAATTATAACTTGCTGTCGCCGACACGAGTTGGTATTCAGAGAAAGACCATCAAGGATAGGTTACTCTCATTTTGTTTTTATACGCTTAGACGCCAGGCAAAAAACTCTGCAGTGAGTCGAGGAGTATTCTTGTTAAAAGCTACTTTCATGAATTCTGTGCTTTCTAGAACCTACGCATAGTTTAGTCGATATATGCACGTACGGACATTAAAGTTTAAGAAAACGACATGATTGTTGCCTATGCGCGGAGAAGGAATTCGTAAGGCGACGGTTTTCAATTGATAGAAAATTACTAATTGACACCAATTTCTGTTTATCGTTCCAGAGCTACGACAGGCAAGCATCGCCTGCAGCTACTACAATAACAAAAGCCCCGGTGATATGAGGGCCACACGCTCCTCGCCAACGAGCGAAGGCGGCCTGTCTGCGGATAGCTGAGAAGCCGGCACATGACTCACTCGAGTGTCCATAGCCGAGCAATGGAACACGAAAGAAATTCCAAGGTTGTGCCACAAAGAACTGCGTATCTAGCCATTTAAGTCCGCTCAATAACCGAGAGAAACCACAAGTTAAAACCCTGCATACAGCTCCCCTCGCACCGAAATCAAAATGAACTCCGTCATATCTGCATTTAAGGGTAAAAAAAGCAGCGCGGCCAACGGAACTGTTGCTGGAGAGACCAAGCAGAACCAAAGCGGTGGGCTCATCAGCATAGCCGTCGGCGGCGGAGTGGCCAAGAAGAAGACGGTGGCCCAGAGCAGTGGCTACCAGTACCTGCGGCACATCCGCGAGATCGAGACTGCCAACAAGCTGCTTTCCCCCGTTGTGGTTGTTGCTGACGACGGGCCGGCCGGCAAGGCGGGTTCTGTCCCGGCAAAGACGACCATGGCAACGGGGGTCGACATGGTGGACCATGTCTGTCTGCCCGCCACGGTGAGACTGTCCAGTGCCGAGACTTTATCCGACTTGAACATGAACGGAAAGGCCGTTGGAGCCGTGGGCCCTGCCACAGCAATTGGCGACAATGCAAACCCGGAGGTGGGTGACCCCTGGATTAGCCCCCCGCTAGCTGCGACGACGGACGACGAAGACCTCTCTGAGCATTCCAATGCCGCCTGTACCAGCACCAGTAGCTCTAGCGAACATAGCAACAGCACCGTGGTGCACAGTCCAACAGTGGCGGAGAGCACATCTGCCTCCGCGTGCGGGTCAGCATCGGCATCTGCCCCAGCCAGTCATCCCAGTCCCAGCCTGAGTCAGCACAGTCAGTCGTCGCTAGCCATCACCTGTGAGCCGCACTCGACCTCCACCACCACGCTGTCTTCGCTGGGATCAGACCTGGGCAATGTAAATGGAAACAACATACCCGCATTCCTAATGTCCGCCCCGGCCACTTTGCCCATTAGCGGCCAGATGTCCACGACCAAGGCCCTACCGGAAGCCAGCTCCGCGGCCAGTACGCCCAAGCACACGCGCTATTTGAAGCCGCGTCTCAGTTTGAGTCGCGGGTTTAACCAATCCATGCCCTCAGTGCACGGGAGGTCAAATCTCAGTGTAATGCAGTCGGGCGACGGAGTGCCGACTGCCGCCCCTGGAATTTCTGCGAATCCCCCGAAACGTATTTCCACGCACCAAAGAAACTTGAGTTTGGATTTCAGGTAAGTCCTGCCTGTTACCTATTATTAAGTTGGCTAAAGGGCCTAATTTGTTCCCAAATTAATCTGTGTCTGTAAATCGACATACTAAGTAATTTGGCAGTGCAATGCAAAGCTGATCCCACAGCAGTATCTCCGGGCAATGCCGTCGACTGGAGCCACCATAACAGCACCAAGAATTTCAATTGGTCGGGCCAGTCGTCATTTCGAATGAAACATAGACTCCTGTTATAGTCCAGTGCATTTGCAGACGCCGAAAGGGACTTTTGTATTTACATTAGGTAGTTATCAGTCCTTCCTGTGGACCTAGGTTTATCGTCCTTGTTTTTCTCGGATAGAACAGAATTTCATCCGATTTTCATTGATCTTAAGTAGCTTCGTTGCATCGTTTATTTGGGTCGCTCTGCATCCGCTTTTTGAGGCCGAATGCGGCACACAAGCTGGAACAGCACATGAAAATGTAAATAATCTTTGGACAAATATACTGGCTATGAATTTTGCGCGTGGTATTTCGATAGAGCCTGCCAAACGTGCTCTTGACTGCATTGTTTCCGTGGGGGCGCATAGAAGCAGATTTTGTGCAAAAAATCAGCAATGTGTGCCGACTCTTTTGGCATTTTTCATGGTAAATGCAGTAAATAAACAAGTCAACAGCTAGGCATAGTATACATACATGTATTCACATACATATGTGGCACATGCCCACACAATCCAATGGCAGAAAATTGAATATGCAACAGTGCAGTTGCAACGGTGCAGTTTTACATACTTTCTTCGTCCCTCTCGCCATAAAGCAAATTTAATGGAAATGTTCTTAAGATCTCTGCGAGAGGCAAGAGCATTGTTGCTGGTCATTTATGTGGTCATTATCGATTGGAATGCAATTGAAGTAGGTGCGGGCACTAGTTTCCTGTCAGGTGTCGAAGTACATAGGCTTGCTGTCGAGCATAAAATGCGGCGCGTTAGGATGAAATGGAAATGAGATGGCCAAAAAAATTTTTTTTTGCCTTAGCCCCATCACCCAAAAACACTTTTACGGGCAAAGTTTGGCTGACTAAAACCCCGCTTAACCTCTTTGAAAAGCTATTGCTTTCCTCTGCCGCCGGGCTGTGTGTATGTACACAGATGACGTGCCACACCCTGTCTTTGTGGAGTGCGTGCGCCGGCGAAACGCTTCCGTACGGATGGTCGAGCTGACCCACCCCGTTTCACCTTGGCGTAGGCAGGACTCCTTTTCTCCTGCCTGAAGCAATATTCACCGCTCTCGTGCCGCCGATTGTGCGGTTACTTCTTTTTCCCCTCTAAAATTAATTTCGTTAGATTTTCGCTTCCTTTAGGTTCTTCTGAGAATTCTTAATGTTTGCGACGGAACCTTTTGCGTTTTTCCAATGTTCAACTATCATAGAATCCTAAGAAAAACGTGCGGAAGGACGTATCAAAGTTATGACTCTGGCTGCTGCCAAACTATTGCGGAAGTCTTGGAAATTGTTTTCCTCTGAATGAATAGTAAAAGATCCAAATGCAACTACATTCGCATGGAAAATATAAACGCTTGGTCCGCATCAGAAAAAGAGCTGGAAAACTGCTATAGATAACACTGAATGCAAACGAGCCGAGCAGTGATGAATGGCAAGAAAGCTAGGGAGCGGAGTGCTTAAACAAGTCGTCGACCTCTGTGAAATGGGAATAGTATCCGTGAGCACTGCCCAGTTTAGGCAAAACAATAAAGGCTCAACGCCCAGCTAGTGGGCTTCTGGGATTTTTTCGTCCTGACGCAAATCCTGAAGCGTTATGTGCGGATATGGAGATGGGCTCAACCATCGGCCAGAGCCTATCAACATCCACATCGCAGTCAAGCTGGGCGAGCGTCGGGAGAGACGAAAGCTCGGCAAATTAAAGCAAATGCGTAGTAATTGACGAGACTACTAATGTGGCTTGGTATGGCTGGAATTTGATTTGCACACGAGTCGGGTGTGGAAGCCGTTTTCGTATCTCAACGCCAGAGAGACCTTCAACAACAGCCACAGGCCAGACAGACCGTCATTGATGTGTCGATCGCCAGCAGATGGAAGCACGATAAGTGACCCGCATGCAAAATGAGATGGCCCGAATGTTGGCTGGTGCTGTAGGTAATCAATCAGGCTGAGATGGGGGACCCGGCATGGTCAGTGGTACGCGTATCAGCACTAGGAAGCACCCGATTCAACCCCACACATCTGCCGCAAGTGATAATACAGAGATTGTTGAACCCGCTTTAAAAGTGGGTTGGCCGGTGCAAATCGTAAATAGATCCCCGCCGAAGGTCGTACTCCATCCCTTTGGTTAAAACTGTAAGGGCATGGCAGGCCGGGTCGGTTATCAAACTTCCGCGCTTATCGCTCTGCCTCATTGCTGTTCACGTAATGGGTTTTGCGCCGGAGATAAGGCTACTTGAGCAAACACCTAAGATAACTAGAACGACTTTTCAGTGTTTGTGGCTGACTGCCGCACTGTACTGCAGTTTAAGTTTTTGATTGCAAAAATCATATCTTTCAAACCAAATTAGATTCGCAAAGGGCATATAAAAAAAGTGTTTAAAACTGTGTAGCAGTTTTCGGAAGATATTCTCTCTAAAAGAATAAAGTTTCTAATTTTGTAATGATTATTAATACTACTGCCTCATATAACTGGTGATTGTAAACATTTGGGTTTTAGTTCGAATTGTCCAATTTTTATACCCGTTACTCGTAGAGTAAAAGGGTATATTGTATTCGTGCAAAAGTATGTAACAGCTAGAAGGAAGCGTTTCCGACCCTATAAAGTATATATATTCTTGATCAGGGTCACTAGCCGAGTCGATATAGCCATGTCCGTCTGTCCGTCCGTATGAACGCTGAGATCTCGGAAACTATAAAAGCTAGAAGATTGGCATTTTGCATGCAGATTCTAGGAGTTCCTACGCAGCGCAAGTTTGTTTCAAAAAGGTGCCACGCCCCCTTTAACGCCCACAATCGCTTATATACGATTTTAAAAATTTAAATATTTCGGAAAAGTAAAAATGCAGTTTTATTGTGTTTATCAATACCTATCGAAATGTAGAAGAAATTTTTCAAATCGGACCATTCATTAAAAAGTTATGCGTGATCAAAGTTTCTATCTCCATCTCCCTCGCACTCCCTTTACCTGAGTAACGGGTATCTGATAGTCGGGGCACCCGACTATAGCGTTCTCTCTTGTTTAATATGTGTTAATTCAAATCAGTTGAGCCTTTGGCAAACCAAATGTCAATGTTGTTCTTTGATAGGATGCTTTAAAAGAGGCTCTAAGGATCAACAAGGCCGTAAAAACCATTTTAAAACAAATTTCAACAATTTGGTTTTTAGTACGTTTTTACTCTACCGCGGCACTGTGCGCCGGAGCTTTCGACGACGTCATGGTCTCGCCGACTCGGTCTCGCCGCGAGCTTTGACTCAAACCCGCGACCAGCTGTCAACAAAGGCCCCAAAAGCTGTTCGATTAGTCAGCCATTGTTGGCCAAGCACTCGTGTAGCTTTTCGCCTCCAAACTTCTGTTTCTGGCCCTCCGCTGCCCCCAACTATTTTGCTGTGTTTGGGCTTTATGTTTCACGCGCATTGTTCTCAGTATGTATTTCCCTTTCATGTGAATGTTGCTAATTTAATTTGTAGGGAATGGCCGCCTGGCCAGGTTTTATCGTCCAGCCAAATCGCTCAGAGCGATATGATAATTGCGACGTAGTGTACGAGTGAGTTTAAAGTGTGTGTACCCGAGTGCCCTGGAATTTCCAAACATACTGATTGACCGCAACAGATGCATTGATTTTTTCACATTGTAATCCGTGTTTTCTTGCAGATCCATGGGTATACTGCTCCCGCCCGTGTCGCAGGTGACCAACACTCGCATCAATCACACGCAGCACCACCGCAATCGCAGCCTCGACAGTGCCCTGCAACGCATTCCGGAGGTGAGTAGTCCTACCAGGGCCTAATTGAGCCAATTGGCTCTTCCCCAGACATAAGCCCTAACCTGCTCCTCGACAACCTGGTTGGCCGCGGATGCACATACGCAAACTTGAAACCCACACCCGCAACGACAGCAGTAAAACCTGGAAAGTTTCTAAGTCTCTATCTAAGCGTGTGTCTGTGTGTGACGCGATGTTTATTTTTGTTTTTATCGTTGCGTTGCTGGCATTGTTATACACTTTTGCACTTACCCCAGTGCTAAATATTTGTGTACTCTTTTCGTTACCGCTCCTGCCTTCTCTAAACTATAACACAGACTGGTCTTCGTTGTTTTCAGCTCCGTGTAAAGCTATTCATAACCTGATTTACAAAAATTGCTTATCGCCCATCCAGGTCGAAGTGTCATCACCAAATGCAGAAAGCGAGAACACGTTCTGCTCCTCGTCCATTCTCGGTGCGAATATGTGCTCGAAGATGGCCACGACCGCGGCGAATGTGACGGCAGCTCTGTCCCCGCCAGCCACGCCCACGCCCACGCCCTCCCCGATGTCCGTGGCCACTTCGACGGCAATCTCGTCCACGACTGTGGCAGCCAGGGGGATCACGCAACACCCTGTGCCGAAGCATCAGCAATCGATTTGTCTGGCCGCTTGTAGGCCCAGTGCCGTCGGTAAGATGCATATATTTTGTAAGACGACTCCCTCTTACTTATGGTTACGTTTTCCATTGCAGGGGAGTCCTGTCCAACAATGCGGGTGCGGCCAAAATCTAGCGAGTCGGTTGCGGGAAATGGACAGGAGTTGATCGGGACTATTGTCAGCGGGACCGGAAACGGCGGTAGCAGCAGCAACAACAGCTGCAGCAGCGCTGGCAGCAGCAAAAAGCGGGAAGATCTCACCAGTCTCGGATCGGACGACTCCGGTAAGTGTTAGCGAGTTGTTCAAGTCGATCAGTCGTGCCTTTTGCTTTCCTGTACAATAATGTGAGAAAAACCCCCATTCATACACAAATCCTGCATGCAGGCATCATCTGTGGCTCAGAGTCGGACCAAATATCCCTGAATCGCATATGCCATTCACATGAATCGCTCGATTCGGGTGAGATGGATGCGGACGCCGATGCAGAGGAGGAGTGCGTTGACCTCATGGAGACGACGTCCATCGACGAGGAGTACAACACGCAACCAGACCATCTCTGCTTCTATTCCCCACACACGGCTTCCACCGAACTGGACTGTCGCACTCTGCGTCCGTCTCGCAAACAAAAGCGCCAGCAGCAGCGAGCCCTGGAGCAGGCCAATCCAGTCTCCCAGGCTCCGCACAATGATGCAGACACCGTGGATGCTGGCGTCGACGCCCGAACTCGGTACCGCGTTATGAACATGTCCCAAGCAGCCATCAATGTTGAACTTGGCGAGGCTTCCAATGAAATCGAACCAGTGCTGGACGACAGGAAACCTGTCCAAGATCACATAGCGACTGCGGATTTACCGAATCCAGATGAGCCATATCCGCCACCATCCCTGCCCACGCCATCGGCCACCCCCACGCCAACTGCCACGCCCACACCAACGGAGAGCACCAAGAACGACCAGGTTCTATTTAAGAACTTCTTTGGGGCCACTAAGAACGCTATCTTCCGCACAGCCCAAAGCATTATTGAAAACCACGAGAAGAAGAACGCTGCCAAGCAGAAGGAGCAGCCCGATCACTCGACGGCGTTGGCCTTAGTAAGTTCACCAAGCGGAGGCAGCACTTCGCCACAAGAACAGATCAAGTCACCTACGGACATTTCCAAAAAAAAGGAATTTTTTAGTCTGCTTACGTCGAATTCCAGCAAAAAGGCGGCCGCTGCCGCGGCAGCGGCTGCAGCGCACTCAACTGCCAACACACCCACGGAATCGCATACGGCACTTGCGGACTTCAAGCTGCAGCAACTGTATGACACAACTGCCGATTCAAAACTGAGGGAGCGCACACTCAACTTACGTCTTCCTGGAGCTGATAGTGAAGTTAATGAAGGAGCACTAGCAAAGTCATCTTCATTCAACTCGCTACACAAACTAAAGCTCCCTGTTCCAGGGGTCGTTAAGTACTTCATCAGCGAACGAGCGCCGGTGTCGGATTTGCTTCGGAAGCCGGAGAAAGGTCAGAGCGGACTGTTGCGTTTCTTCGAGTCGCCTGTCTTCAACATACACTTCGCTGTTCATTACCTCTTTTACTCAAAAGAACCGGGAGTTCTTAGCTTTATCGGCAATAAGATATTTAGCTTTCCGGACCAGGAGGTCGACCTATACATACCGCAACTGATTGTCATGTACATTCAGATGGATGAACTAGCCGAGGTCCTAGATCCATATCTGACCATAAGGTGTCGCAAGTCCGTGGACTTCTCGCTCAAATGTTTGTGGCTCCTAGAGGCCTACAACTACCAGATAGACACCCTGGGAAACTCGCACAGCAGCTCCCGGAAATCTAAGCTGGCGCTCATGAAGGAAATATTCTCAAAAAAGGAGCAGAAGCAGACTCAGAACGAAGCTAAGTCTGCTGGCACAGTCGGGGAGCCGATCGTGGCCTTCGCCAAAAAAACGCATCACCGTTCACAGTCCGATGCCACAGTGCTGCTAGCCGACTTCCGCTCACCTCACACATTAAGTATATCTCACCGTATGTATCAGCAGCCGCCCTACACAACGCAAACGCTTCCCACCACTCCCGCCAAACTTTGTCTCGGTGATTTAAGCTCGGGACACGCCTTCGACAACGGATGCACCTGCTTCGAGTCGGTGCGAGGCCAAGTGAACGGCCTGCTTGGACAGAGAACGCTTTGCAGCTGCGGAGCTCCAAAAACGGCGCCTCAAAAGGAGTTCATGAAGGCCCTGATGAACGTCGGTAAAAAACTCACATCATTGCCTTCTAAAGCGGAGAAGACTTCAGCGCTGCGGATGTTCCTCAACTTAATCAACAAGAACCTGCCCGCTCGAGTCTGGCTTCCCCTCTACTCGGACATCCCGCATCACGTCGTTCGTATTACGGAGGAAAAGACGGCGGTACTGAACTCGAAGGACAAAACCCCGTACATCATCTATGTGGAAGTGGTTGAAATTCCTGACATTTACACTTCTCCTCTGATACCCAAGATGATGCCTTCGCTGCGGCACACAAAGAGCGAGGAGCACCTGGAGGGATCCTGCCTTAATTCACACCAGCACCTCAGCTGCAGCCACACCTCCAGCAGCAGCAGCAGTCAGCAGGGTTCAAGCTGCCGTCGAAAGAAGGGCGCAGAAGCGGATGGCGGTTGTGGCGACTCTGCCCCTCACAACTTCTACGGCAACGCACTTTCGCTGGGCGGACTTCATCTCCAAGTGGATGAAGTGTGGACGCAAGAGGACGACGACATTACGGCACAGTACCTTAACATGCGAAAAGTAAGCGAGCGAGACACCATTTCACAGATGTCACTGGACTCTTGCGATTCACGGGACCAAGGTGAGTGGATATTTCAAAATAATGATCTATGATCCATTATAATCTGACCACCGCTATTTTGGACAGGTCCACCAATCGTCTTCAATATTGGAGACGTGCGCTTACGTCACTGCAGCAACTTGAGCTGTGAGAACACGAAATCGTTCAGCAACGACCCAGAAGATCCATCGGCAGCGGCTCTAAAGGTTTGAACTTCAAAATTCGTTATTGAACTCAAATACATAATTACAGCATTTTTTAGGAACCCTGGCACGAAAAGGAAAAGCTTATTCGCGAGTCCTCTCCCTACGGCCATTTATCGAACTGGCGGCTGCTTTCCGCCATCGTTAAGTGTGGCGATGATTTACGTCAGGAACTTATGGCTACACAACTGTTACAGGTATGTGGTATAAAAGTGGTTTCGAAGGAATAATGAATGCATAACCCTAAATGCAACTTATATTTTGCAGATGTTTAAAATTATTTGGCAAGAAGAAGAAGTAAATCTGTGGGTGCGCCCGTACAAAATCGTCTGCCTGTCGAATGACAGTGGTCTTATTGAGCCCATTCTCAACACTGTCTCCCTGCACCAGATCAAGAAGAACTCTAACAAATCATTGAGAGATTATTTTATCGATGAGTACGGCTCACCCACCGGAGAGAGTTTCCGCCGCGCACAAAAGAATTTCGTCCAAAGCTGTGCAGCCTACTGTCTCATTTCGTATTTGCTGCAAGTCAAGGACAGGTAGGACTAGTTTTTTATCGGTTACATATTTTTACTGACGTTCACCAAATTATTTTAAGGCATAATGGCAACATACTTTTTCATTCGGATGGGCACATCATACACATTGACTTTGGATTTATTCTGAGTATATCTCCCAAAAACCTGGGTATGTATTTTGCAATATTTGAAGTTATAAGCTCAATTTAAGAAATATTTGGCTGTTACAGGATTTGAACAATCGCCCTTTAAACTTACTCCGGAATTCGTTGAAGTCATGGGAGGCACCAGTTCGGAACATTGGCGTGAATTTAATAGGCTTCTTCTGGTGGGGATGATGACTGCCCGAAAGCATATGGATCGTATTATAAACTTTGTGGAAATTATGCGCAGCAGTAGGTTCCAAACCAAATGGTCAACAAGTTTTCCCGCTATAATATATATATATTTTTTTTTCCAGATGCTCATTTGCCGTGCTTCAAAAATGGATGCTCCGGAACTGTTCAGAATCTCCGTAAGCGCTTTCATATGAATTTAACCGAGCAAGAAATGGAACGAAAAGTAGAGCAGCTTGTACAGGACTCGTTGAAAAGTCTGTCAACTAAACTGTACGATGGTTATCAGTACTACACGAATGGCATATTGTGAGAACGGTTTTTTATGAAGATCTAAGTGGGTAGTAACAATTAATAGATTGAAAATGCCAAGCTGGTAACCAAAACTATGGACTGACTTTTTTGTAAAGGATTAATTGTATATTATATAATATGTAATTATCAGCGACAAAAAACAAAAAGAATGAAATTGTACCAAACCTAAATTTGTTATCGTAGCTTAAATCGTTCGTTGTGTGCGCTTGCATTGTTGAATTAGCATATTGTGTATGTTTCTAGCTTTTAAGAAAAAGTGTAAATGTTTTGGATGTAGATTAAGTTTGTCTGAGTGAAAACGCGATTGTCGGCCAAGTTTTCCATTTTAAAATTCATAATTTACTGCTTGTACATATATATATTACAATTTTCAATAACCAGGCTTACATTTCGAAAACTTTGGTTACCTATTCATCCTTATCTAAATTTTTTACTCTGGGCTTTTGTTATTCACGATATACGTGTAAAGTCATATAATTCCAATACTTATTCATAAGTGTAAAGTTAAACACTAATGCCACTTTGCTGCAGCTTAAAATTTTAATACAGCAATATAATCTTTAAGAAAATCAATTTAATTATCAAACAACTTTATATAATTTTAACAAAAATATGCCACGAGTACATACAGAAATAAATAAAAGGTTTAATTCGCCGTCAACTCTGTATGTATTTGCCCATTTAACCAATTATTAAATCCTAATGATTTGCTAAGATAAGATATTGCGGTAAAGAACGAAAATCAAAGCATACGAAACAGTACTAAAACAAATAGCTAGGCACTGAAAGTGAACAATTTCATGTTTGTAAAATAAGGTGAGCAGCACTATTGAAATACACATGCATGAGTGTATATTTAAGTTAAGATGCACGCAAACATTAGCTACAAGTATTTCAAAATGTAAATGAATATTTCTACAAATTTATTAAATAATTCGACTAAAATAAATGAACATATTCATATACAACAATATATGCTTTATATATACATATTTTAACTCTTCTAGCGATTATTATACAATTATAACGTATTTTCGTGGGTAATTCGTAACACGAATAAATAAACAAGCCATTTGCGCATCTTTTGATTGCGTTTCGTTGCAAAATAACGGTTGCCTTCCACAGAGCTTGCTTCCTATTTGTCGAATAATGAGGGGAACATGGAGGGGCACTTCGTTTTAAAAGCTTGCTTCCTATTGGTGGACCAATGGGATCGCTCCATTCAATAGCATTTTTAAAACCGAGCATCCACCTACCAAAATTTATGTTCGCCTGATGTCACAAATCACGAAATTAGCTATGAAACGGCAATTTTAAAAAATTTTGAGCCGAGTTGTGGCCCATTTTGTCGGTCAAAACGAGAGGTTTCTCGATTTGAGATACCAGGCGAACAGAAATCAAAGTAGGTGGCGTAAGCAAATTCAGAACCCAGCAGCCCCCAAATGCAGGCAATATAAAATTATGATGTCATGAACGCAATGATCGGCTGCCCAAAAGTATGCACCAAAAAATTATAATAATTTTTCCCTGCATACTTTTGGCCAACCGATTTATAAAATTTGTTGTATTGAAATAATATTTGTTCTTTGGCCCATGCTAAGTCAATAAATTTTGAAAGTAAAATAATTTTATTTTTTAATGTTTAAAAGTTTTATTAAAATAATGCAAAATGCGACTAAAAATGCATTTTAAGGTAGATAATTAACTGTCCACACCCGTAGTCATCAGCTTTAATTTGTTGAAGTTATTTTAAACAATTAAGATAATACGGTTTTGATATAAAATGGTATGATATCGTCCGATTACTGAGCGATTAACGAATGCACTTAACGGTGTACGATTAACTTTTCTTAACGCTTACCTTAACGTATTTACAATAAACCTATCTTAGCACTAGCTACATGTCGTCTACAAAATCCAGGTCCGCCTCCGACTCTCGAACTAACACCATCTGCTCTAGGCGGTTGATCCGTCTTAGCATCTCCTCCTTTTCCCGCTGAAAGGAGTCTGCGCGCCGGCGCAGTTCTTCGTTTTGGCGCCGCAGCTCATGCAGCTGCCGACAAATCTCGGAAGATGTCAGCAGCGGCATCACGTTTGGAGGCTTTGGCGAGGGCAGCTTTGTCGCACTCAATAGAGGTTTGTTGGGCACCACCCCGTTGTTCGTTGGCCCTTGTCCAGATCCTGCCATGAGTGAGGGCCGCAGCTGTATTGTCTGCACGGTCCCCACCTGTCCCCTGAGCGAACTTGCGGATGCCGGGTGGTTCGCAGGCAGTGTAGGTGTAACCACGGCTTCCTTCAGGCCTTGTGACTCATCTAATATGGTAGTGGGCTCCAGGGGTCTCTGCAGGGATGGGAGCTTTAACTAAAAGAAGAGAAGACGTAAAGTCTGTTTACGTTTCTTGCATTCTTCGGCGGCCTAAACTAGAAGGTTATAAAGGCAAGCTAATCTAAAAAATAGATGAGTGAAACAACCACCACATACCTGTCGAGCCTGCAGCTGGCGCATGTTGACTAGTTTGGTGCCATCGGGAAGTTGACGAACCATTCCAGAGCTATCATAGGGTGCAAGATTTGTTAAAATTTGTTGAAAAAAATTGAATCAACCTACCTTGCCAGCGATGCGGGTATTTTCTGTAGAGACTTTGTCTGACTATCCGATCCGCAGAGCTTTTTGAAATCAGTCAACGAGATTATGCGTATATTCTGCGAAAAAATTTTATTTATAATGGGAATGTGCAAGAGAATAAAGAAAACCAATACCTTGTTCTTGGTAACCCCCGCCGGCGACGGAAGTTCTTTTTGTCTAATGACATTCATGCGAATCTTCTGAGGGGGTGAATTGTTAACATTTGGACGCAGAGCGACGACCGGAGGCCTAAGATTGCCGTTTACGGATTGCTTGGTACCAAGGCCTGCTTTCGTTTCGTGCAGCAGCATGCGTCCACCTTCGGAAAGGACGAGTTGGCGTCCATTCTGCAACGCTGTGTTGAGCATTTCTTTCGAAGCCTCGTCATCGTTTTCCTGCATCATGTCTGCGATTCCGTGAGTTTTCAGCATGTTTAGGGCAGAGTTCCCCAGCGCATTGGTATCTGCAAGGGCTCACATAATAGGATTTAATTTTTGTTGAGTCTTCGAACTATTAAACTCACGCCCTCGTAGGTTTTCCAGGACATCCATTCGTTCTTCCACCGACATTTCCCGATCGTCAAGGCTTTTCGTGTTTTCCGGCTCGTCCATTATTGAGTTGACAGCTTCACTGGTTTCTTTCTGCAAATCAAATGTGGAAACTGGTATTAGCATTTATACCCACGAAACACTGTGTGGGTGGGTGAGTTTTACAGTCCAAATTAAAGAATGTTAGAAGCATTTTAGGGCTTTGGGAATTTTCATAGCAATCAAATACGGAATGTCTGAGGTACATACTCTGCTCTTATGCGTTTGTCGCTGGAGTTCGGTAAGCCCAGCCAAATGCAGCAAGAAATCGTACATTAATTAGTATAAGTGGAAATGACAAAAACTGAACAACTGAAGCTCAACTAAGAGATATCAGACTAAAGTGAAACCCAACTTGCGTACTCACCTCGCTTTCCTCGTTGAACTTCTTACTAGCCTGCGCCTGACGCGCCGCCTCGAGTTCCGCCAGCACATCCGCCTGTTCCGTGTATACGGCCAGTCCGATCGGCGTCTTGCCGAACTTGGAAACCAAGGCGACATCTGCTTGGCACTTGAGCAAGAGTCGCACAATGCTTTTGTGCCCCTTCTCAACGGCCCAGTGGAGCGGAGTCATGCGAAGCTGGGAAGGCAATACATTGAGAATGTTTGAGCCCATGTACTGTGTGGTTTGGATATAGACTTACCATATCCCGGGAGTTGACGCTGCACTTAAGCGCAAGCAACAAGCTTACCACCCGCTCGTGCCCGTAGTAGCAGGCCAAGTGAAGCGGCGTCCGGTCGACCTTGGTCTTGGCGTCCATGTTAATCCCACCCTGCAGGAGAATCTCGCAGATCTCCAGCTGGTTATTCATCGCGGCGAAGTGGAGCGCGGACATACCAAGCCAGTCGGATGCGAAGGGGGCTCCGTGAGCCAACGCCGCCTTGACGCCAGCCACATCGCAGTCCCTGGCACACTGGAGCAGCTGCTTGCCCAGGTCCACGCATGTTGCGGGTCCCAGCAGGTTGCCTTTCTTTTGCTGGGCTTCTCCTTCAGTGCGCTAAAAGAGTCTCCACGTTAATTTGGCTCAAGCTCAGGAGCTGCGCTGCCTTGAAACTCACAATCTCGTAGTGCATCAAGTTGGAGTGCTCCATCGGATACACAATATTTCCGTCCGCGCGGAGAGTGGCCACAACTTTGCTTGTGCCGCTGTGGCTGTGCATCTTAGCATGCGAAAACTTTCAGCAGCAAGAGGGGGACTCTAGTTGGCATAACTGCAATTAGGTGTTTGCGCTTAAGCCAGGATTTGCAATAAATATAATGTTTACGTTTTTAGAATTAAATTTAAAGTGTGACAGCTCGACGTCTTTCTTTCAAATACCACACCGCGTACTTTAAAACACCCTAAAAATATACCGAAAATAAGCCCCAGACTTTTGGTTTAGAACTTGGCTAATGCTTAACGCGTCTGGTATTTATTTTACACGTTAAGAGTTTGAAAAGTCAGGAAACTCATTTATAGTTCTTGTTCACGGAATGGGGCGTTTAAATTAAATATAAATTATTGATTTGGATAAATATATATTTATTTATTTGGCATATGGAGCATATTTGTGGTTGCTAAGTGGCTACAGTTGTTTCCGGTTAAGGTTACGAGCGGGTGTTCGTTTTCGATTGGTTTAAAACGTGTACGCCATCTAATATTAATTGCTCAGTCGCATAACGCTTGCCATTTTTGTAAAATTTGTTTTTGGCAAAACGTTTTCATTTATTCATTTTTGTTAAAATAAAGTGCAACAATGGTGCGCTGAGTAATGTAAATAGTTCCATAACTTAAGACAACTATTTTGATCTATTTACATTATTAACGCATTTTGCAATGTTGTTTTATTTCATAAATTAATTTTTTAGTGCTGTACTTAAACAGATTTTATTTCAAGTATGTGTTGTAAGTTAGTTCAGCGCATACTTTTACAGAGAAAATCTTAATATTTTGCAAAAACTAATAAGCTTTTTTTGGGCAAAGTCTATTAAATAGTAAATTGCTTAATGAATTTATATCTCTTGATTAACTTATACTGCCGTTTAAATGATCAACTTATTCTTGCCAACTGTGTGGGCAATAATTTAAATACTAATCGGATACATTCGAGTTCCTCCTTAGAAAAAATTAAATTCGCTCAATTATTCTGTTGATTTTGCTTGTATATGAAATTGTTAACATTTGCTAATTTTACGACTTCAATGACAATCAAACCAATTTCTATATAATACAATATTGTTTTATATCATAATGCGAACGATTTCATATGCAATAATATTGGTTCCTTTATCGATACTTTACTACTTTTATTAATATGTTTCGTACAATTTTATGTAAGTTTGGCATCTTTAACTTTGAATATATGCCCTTGTGGATTGGCCTAGCAAAAACAGTAACAAATGCCATGATAATTTCCATATTTCAATATACGTTAAATACAAGGAGTATGTACTCAATCTCGTTAAAATGTGTCATATTTAAAGTATCTATAATTTCTAAAAGTTTCTCAATATTAATTCTGTGGGTAGTTTTCTTTTCAACTTGAGGGGCTTTTAGAGGTCTCTAAGCGAATGTGAATACACAAACAGAAATCTTGAAATAATTTGCGGGTGTTCATTATCGGCTTATCACGTAACCTAAATATACAAGTATGGACAGGTAATGGGGTTTTTAGACTAGCAGTCGGTGACATTTTTATATAAAACCGCATTGAAATGCAGAAATATAAAACGTAAAATTCTTATTACCTCAATAACATTTGGCTGTCAACAAACCTGTAGCGGACATTGAGGGATTTAAACGATAAACGGCGTTAAACAAAAACAAATATAATTTTATATTGAACAAAAAAGTAACACTACCATAAACTCAATCAGTAGGTAATACTCATTCGACCACCCATTACTATTATTGTAACAAATATTTTTTACCATACGTACGAGTACATTTGCTTGTATCTTGTATGATGAATGCTATGTTTGGGTTATTGCAATTCTATTCGTAACTATGTCGAGCATTTACGCGGAAGAACTGTCCGCCGGCAGTAGTGCAGCTGCGGCTTCGGCCAGTTCCATTGCAGCCACCCGAGCTTCCGTCAGCGTCGCGTCCGCGTCAAATCCCGGCTTATGCGTAGGTGACTGACTCGGTGTGCAGTTGGCGCTTTTGGGTTTACGAAACCAGTTGCCGAAATGGCGCCTTCCCAGCGAACCTGTGGACGTGGTGGACAATATTTGAGAGTTCGCTGGGTCTGCGCTGGATATGCCATCTCTGGACTGCGATTTTTTGGGCAACGTCTCGCACAGGCGGGACGTTGATTTGGCCGGTGACTCCGGCACGGAACTCTCACCGCTGGCAGATGTAGCTCCCGTGGTGGCTAAATCAAAGTCTTGCGCCTCGTAGTCCGATTGGTCAGAGCAATCTCCCGGCCGTTCCTCATAATTGTACTCAAAGCCCGTCATCTCCGATACATATAGGGCTTTGCCGCCAAACTGACGCTCCAGGGCGAGGGTATTGAGGAAGCGGTGCTTCCGGTTCGCCGATCGGAAACTGAAATCATACCATTTGTCGCGCGACTCGCAGTAGATGCGAAGCGAGTTCTTGATGGTGTGCCCAAACATCTTTCCATCCCTCACGTTCACAACGCGACATCGGTCCAAAAAAATGCGTCCCTTGTAGATAAAATGACTCCGCTTGATAATATCACGTTTGCAGTAGACCAGCTGGTTGTCAAATAAGAACAGAGTGTAGCTGCTGTTCCACAGATTCTGTTTCTGGCGCGTAGCATCGACCTGCAGGAAGAAACGAGCACTGTGCAAGTGCAGCGGTGGCCCTTTGAAGTTCTGAAAGCTGGCCTGGTGTCTTGCGATCGTCTCGCTGTGGCGTTTTCCCTCATTGACCGCCTCCGTGATGCCACGCATGGCCTCCAGCGCCAAATTGACAGTATCTTGGGAGTCTGGTATGTCTAGTTCACTGACGTTAATTTTCTCGTAGTCGACGGCGGCATTTGGCTTGGCACCACCATCCGCTACCTTGTCCGCGTTTTCCAATGCCGATTTAATGATCTCGTTGAGATGCAAGGGATAGCGGCAGATGCGTTGCACTGGTGCCAGCAGGTGGGCGGAGAGTGGTAACTCGGCCAAGTTCTCGGACTCGCGGCAGCTGTATATGTTTTTGATTAGTAAACGGTTTTAGGACATTCTTTTATATAAACCTACTTTTCCAAGATAGTACGGGCGTCCTTAACGCGATCGTAAGTCTCAAGTTCGATTAGGGCTCGGGGATATGCGTTGCAGTAGCTTGAGTAGCATAGAAATCCTTTATGCTGAAAAAAAAAATGATAGCACATGTAAAACGGCTTTTATATTAAAGAAAATCCAACTCTCATTACCATTTTAAGAAACACTTTTGCAATCTGGTTTTGTTCGATCCCTCGTCGCAAGGCATCAAGAAACTTTCGCTGGAACTTGTAGATGGTCGTAATGTTGGAAAATATCAGGCGAATACTGCTTGGCGAGAATATATCGATGCGCTTGCTCATGGCAGGAAGATACCTAAATCGGGTCAGAAAGCAAACTTTACAACTACTGCCAATTGCAAGCGACTCGTTATCTTACCCATCACAAATAGATGCCAGCAGTTTGACATAATTAACCTCCGTATCGAGCAGTTCACGTACAGCACTTCGTCGCAGGATTGCATTGTGGTCCAGTTGGGCACTCAGCGGGTTTGGTGGCGATTCAATGACAATAAGGGTGATATTGCTTTGGTCTGTAGTCACGGTTACTTCTGCGTTCTTGGCGAACGTCGCAACAGGAACAGGAAGCGACCCTTCCTCCCCAAGAGTTGTAGCTTCCTGAGCATCCGCGCCAGCGTCAGCCCTGTGCGCGTTAAAGAAGATGTCCGTTTCAGGACAGTGAATAATGCGAACAAACTCCTTAGGGAACCAGCCCAGCTCAGGATCTAAAATTTCCTCCACGAGATTGATTTCCTCCTTCTTAATGCGGCCAAACCACCAAGGTCCAACCTCCTTGCGCAATATTTCAATAAGCATTCCCCGCTCAAGGCCCAGCTCTTGTGGTCCGCCAGCCGTGAAGTTGTAGAGCACTTCTGCATAAATGGTTGGGTAGTAGCTGATAGCTGGGGACCAAAGGGAGATCACATTAGTAGCCGCCGACTGCTCCGACAACTCAATTTAATTGAGTAATTCGCACTCCCAGCTCTAAACCTACCTTCCTCGTTCGACGCGACACTGTCACTGTCGCTGTCGTCAATATCCGGATTTCCCATGCCGTAGGACTCCAGGCCATTTGGTTGGCTGAGCGATCGCGTCGGCAAGGACTCGGGCGCTTCGCGTTCCCCTTTGTTGAACTCCCCCATGTTTAGGTGCCTGGCGTTTTTGGACTTTACAGCAAAGGGTCCGAGAATGCTGCTCGCCTTGGCCGAGTTGGTTCGACGAATTGGACGAACTTTTGAGTCTGCGGCACTGGACGTAAGATTGCTAGAAACAGCAGAAGCCGCTATCCCCTGCCTATTAGGCCCCAGAGCACGAGAGCATTGCTCATCCTGCTCCAGCTCAATCTGGATTCCTGAGTCCCCGGAGTTACACTTGTCCCGACGGTTGAACTTTGTCTTGCGCCGCTCTTTGGACGTGCGCCATATTAGGGGCCCGAATCGGTATTTGCTTGAGCTCGCATCAACACCCTCTGCCCCGTGTTCGCTGGCTGACGTCGTACTGGCCGGAGCTGTGATGGACACTGCTGGTGTTGTTGGGGACGTCCTTGAATGATTCCCGACTATTGCAGGCGGTGGTAACGGAGTGATGTGCATTTGGTTCCTGTTAAAGTTGTTCAGAGTACGTTTGAATTTCTGCAAGACGCCCAGGCCGCCACCTCCACTTCTGCTGCTGGTGTCTGTTACGGCCACATCCGTACTCTCCACTGGCTTCTGTTGCGCCGGCTCTGAGAGGGGTTCTGACAGAGTGGGACTAGAGGCAGCCTTCATTTGCTGCGACTGCAAAAGCGGGAAAAAAGAAAGTTGCATTATTGACCTGTTTGTATAACATATCTAGGGGCAAAACCCCTGACCTGACCAGAGTTGCATCCGTGCAACTAACGCTTACATAGTGCTTCGACTTAAGCGCTACACGGCTCGTCACGCGAAACCACAAATATCTTATCATTTTGCAGCTTGGTTTATGCCCCTTATTGGCTGGGGCTCGGATTATAACAACAATGATTCAATAGCACTCTGTGTCTGCGGCTAGGTACTGTGTGTCGAATTTGTCACAAGAATATTAATGAAAATAAACGCGATTGTGACTTGGAAGTAGTTCACATCCATGTCTGTCACTGTGACGAAGTATGCTGTATTACGCTATTGCCAGATTTAAGAGTTGACTAGGCCAAGCGTTTACATAACGGAATGTGGCGGGGGCCAATTGACCAAAAATCTAACTGACACACATATGTATATGAAATTTGTAGGGGCTGTATAAACTGTGATATGGATGTCTCCAATTTTATCGGGTTTTACTTTTTGTTTGACAATTAAATTGATATGAACAGCAAATGCGTATACTCAGAGAGTATCAGAGGTCGAGATCCGAAGAGAGGGAGGGTACTAGCGAGGCATGACCGAAATACCAGCGACTTATCAGCCCACCACTCGCACAACCCTCAATCGATAAACATAAGATGGAGCAGGGCATGCAAAGGAAGGCCGACCTGAAAAAGGTAAGGTTTCCATCTGTAGGGATGCTCGCTGGGCATGATATCGTCGTTGGGCACGTTAAAATCCACGCGTTCTCTGGCGGATTGCGGCGACATACTTCCAGGGGCGCCCGTGTCGAAATCCCAGAACTTAATCAGACCATAGGTATCCATGAGCGTGGGTATTATCAGCTTCTTCATAGCGGGTCTTGTTTGGTTCTGCGGCCCGATCAGGTTCGCCCAATTGCGGGCCTTCCGCTAGCAGCACTGGCAGGTGTCACCGGGCGAAGCGATAACTAATAACTGATTGGCCGCAATTGCCGGCAGCGAGACTTGCAAATGCCAACCGCCAGCTCTAACGAGTGCTAGTGTCGTCGTCCGGTCGTAAGTGGGCGGCCGGCCTATTGTAGTTGGGGATATCGCATTTAGGGACATAAAGGCGTTGAGTTCGACTCTATCTCCGAGCTCCATTGTCGGGAGTCTGAATTGAAGTGGTTTGATTAGATTAGCGCAGGAATGACATAGCACGAGCCGCTGCCACTTGGCGCATCTGTGGCCGTCTTTGTTGCATGTGGTCGTGCTGGTTCAACCTATTGTCTGCGACCTCGCTACCGGCCGAAGCATTGGCCAATGTCAATATGCAGTTGAAATGCATTGTGTTGCGTGATTAGTTTTTGCAGCGAGATCTACAGGGCACATAAGACTTAAACCAGTGGCGTAGGATGTAAAGCGGCTTTTGACTGGAAACTTAATCAACTAGATGGGAAATTCAATTAATTTGCGCACCCGTTCTTGTTTTTGATCTTATTATTCAATGTCTAATGTTATATTAATCAGAGGCTGTATCTAGTAGAGTAAGTCACTAACGCGATAGGGAATTTTTTTTTTTTTTTAGAGATTTATAAATGATGTTTTACTGCGTGCAGAAGGACTAGCGCATCTAGATTATAGGAATTGAAAGGTGAGTTTAAAATAACACCAAGCGACACATCACCGCTTATTGTTTAACGCATTTCAAGTTTAATTTATATACCACGCCAGATGTAAACAGATCACAAGGAAACGGCTCGGATAAGCCCATAATGTGGATACACTCGGCGGCATTAAACCAGGCTGAAGTGATTTAACAAAAAATTTCAAAAGAATTTTCATACATAAGGTTTTAGTGACCGATCATAATTTGACGGTGACTAACGACGTTGTGCAAAGGAAAAGTACGGGGAAAACAAACACATTCGGAAACATATGTTTTCTCCACATTGACAATTTAATGCTCACTGTTTCTAATAAGCTGTCATGAAGCACAGTTTCGGCGTCCTTTTGGTTCCATTACCGTTTCGCAGGAACGCTCCAAGTTGGTGCCACGAAATGAAATTGGCGAGCCCGTCACAGCGCATGGCAATGCCCACCTCTTGCAGAGATCACATTTCGATTCATTCATGGCGTTTGATAAGCCTTAAGGGGTTTTAGTCGAGCCCAACTCGCTTCAAATGCGGTTGCCGTGTGAGGCATGCAAAGAGCAGAGTGGGGCATTGATGGAAATAGTAAGAAAGTCCCTTTCGTTATGGATGGAGGTATGTCTGCGGTTGCGGCATTGATAGGTTGTAATGGTATCTGCGTCGTTGGTAAGTTTCTTATATGAAATCATCTTAGAAACATATTGGGCAACAATGTACCCGTCCATTGAGCTCTCTGCCACCTTGCTGCTGGCGCAAGGGTGCATTTTAAGTGCATTTAAAAATGCGCCTTAGAGAAAGTTTGGTTTTTACATAGGGAATGTCTTGCTACTCTGTTTTCAAACTTTATACCAGTAATAAAATTGGGTTTAATTAGCTGAGCTTCGGCTGTGAAACTTTTAGGTTTCTAGTGGGACGCTCGCCGACATTGAATGTTTCCACAGATGCAGATCTATAAAAACTGCGTACGTTTTATAGAAGAACTTTACTGCCCTGGCGGTACTTTATAACAGAGGGCGAGGGCATGGTAATAAGCTGACTTGCAGTTAAGGCACTGACACCCTTGAAAGCATTTGGAGTGCATCATGTTTCCCACAATCTCCCCCAGTCCTTCATTACAATCGTATGCTTATAGCCTCAGCCTTCTTCGATTGTTTTACAAAAGATGCGTGTGACTAAAACTAAACATTTGTATATAAATCGCAGCTGCTGCAGCCAGTCTACCAAAATAAATTCAAATTTTGAACTTATGACATCAATAAAGAAAAATTACAGCTGTCCTGGATATGCGATACTATTAAAGTCAACTCCTCGTTCTTATGGGCATATTAAAACGCCATGGGTTAGTAAAAAATAACATGTAAATATTAGTCTTATCCCCCATGCAAATCTCGATGTTTCCTTAATTTCTTGTGACCAACCCACATAAAGATCTTAGGATCTTTTTCTATTGAAAAAAAAAAACTATTTATTACTTACCAAACCCACAGCAAAGCCACTGTTTAACCGTATTCCATTGTTTCCGGTTTTTGGGATTCTGGAAATATACAAAACACATTTCTGTTAAGTGAAAGTTATTTTTCTATTTACAATAGAACGGTAGCGATGGCCACGCGATACCGCGGTGAATTATGTAACGATTTGAGCCGCCGACTGCAGTCGATCAAGCAGGTCGACCTTGCGAAAGGTCTTCAAGCTTTATGTTTGCTCATTAGTCGCCGGCAAAGTAGTTCAGTTTACAAAGCAATTTAAAGATTTCATAGAATAGTGGCCTAAGGTTACGACACTCGGAAAAGGCACTAGGTAGGTTTGCGTGTGAAAATTTGGCGGCAAGAGTGCTCACTTGTTAGTGCAGGTATATTTGCAGATAAAAAAGCAAGAGGTTTAGAAAATGGAGAAAAGGATTTTCTTACTGCCCGAAAAGGTAAGCAAACTTGATCGATTCCATTTCGTATGCTTATTGCTAGCAAACACCATAAATTCTGGGAAATCCGTACGCACAAAAAAAACAAAACAGGCCAAGAAACGACCCTAAAAGGCCTGGTGGTAGGTTTTAAGGAATCAACAGGACATGGTCGCACACAGATAGGAGAAGGCCAGAGTAGCGGAATTTTTAAGAAGTGCATAGTTCATAAAACTTCCTTTGCCATCACATAGCGCAGTTTTCCTTCCTTTTGGCCCTTTCTATCTTGTTTTTGCAGGCCAGGGAAAGATTAAATTTGGGATGCGTGAAGATCTGCAGTCGTCGCAGTGCGCAATCTTGCAGAGTTCCGGCACCGAGGGTAAAATAATCCCGAAGTGCTCTTCTTTGGAGCGACAAACGCTCTACCAGACAGTTTTAGTTTCTTTGATGTGCAGTTCAAGGTTAGTGATGGAGCCTGTTTGATAGCATGATTGTAAAGACCAGTACTCTAGTTTCGTACCCACTCATTCTATTCCCGTTCTTTCAAAATTAGCTCACCGTTGCAAAGTCTTGACCCTTCGACCCTCTATGCCTGCTAAGCGTTTCCTGGGCGTACAGTGGTGGTAAAGTTGTTCTGATTTCACACAATAACTATTAATCGGCTTTTTTATGTTCATTGTGAGCCTGATGTCGACTTTTTTCACTTTGCTGCACTTTACAGTTACCGTGCCAGGGGAATCAAACTGCGGCACTCTAAACTTAGTTAGGCTTGATCGCACGTGAAATGTAACCATAATCAGACTGTTGCACTTTTTAGTCTAAGCGAGCTCCACTTGCTAAATTGCATTCTATTTTATCCCGATGCAGTGTCAAAAGACTTCCGCTGAGCGTCTTTCCGCTTCGTTGTACTGGGGTAGACTGATCCTAGCAGACCCTTCCGGCTGCTCAGTACACTCAATCTCACTCAACAGTCGTGTTGTTGCTGGTATTGCAAAGTAAAATAAGGGAAGGATCTTGAGTGAGTTTAATGTGCGTACAACAGAGGTGCAGTTCCGACGGTGAATGGTTATGCTCTGCTGTAAGACCGTCATCTTCAGCGACAGCTGCTTCTTATAAGCCCACCCCTAAACGGCCAGCATTATGTTTGAGTCATGGGCTCGCTTTCAGCTGCTGCTGTTCGCTTAGGTTTTGATCAAAATTCAAAAAAGACTTAAAATGTGGCAGGTAGGCTCGAGAAGGATAATGGGTAGCCAGTGAACAGTGAGCAAGAAAACATCTGCCGCTGCTGCCACGAAACCAGTTCCTGCTAGCTCTGTCCCTTTTCCCTAATAGCGTGTGTCTAATATACTTTAAGGAAACGTGATCTATCAGCTAGCGATGCAAACCATCTACACGATGGTTGGCTCAGTTGTTTTGACGAGTCCTCTTAAAATCTTCACATTTCTCCAGGTTTAACAGCTGAAATCAATGTTTTTCACCAGCAAAGTTTAAGAGTGGAAACCTTTGAGCGCTAACACTCAAGCGGAAATGCGTGAGGCGCCTCTCTAAAGGAACTACGACCCAATGTGGGGGAATGAAACAGGAAGTTCTGGCTCTGAGAGTTTTTTTAGGGTCTGGTTTGCTATTTGTGAAGGAGCAGGTGCTGCGGTTTAAAAAATTAAATGTAGATGGCGGAGAATTCGGGAAGTCAACTCTAGCTTGTTTCCAAAGCAAAACAGCGCACATTATCGTTTTATTATACCCTTGTAGAGGGTATTATAATTTTAGTCAAAAGTTTGCAACACAGTAAACACATTTCCGACGCTATAAAATATATATAATTGATCAGCATCGTCAGGCGATTTCAGAACTTCGATTTTAATTTTATATCTGTATATTTAGCTGCAATAGGAAAGATCGAAGAATTTATAGGAAAATCAATCCAGCTTCATTGATTTTAATCATCGAAATGGAAATACAAAATATTTAATTTTGGCTGCAAGGATATATAATCTTCGGTTCCTTCCTTGCTTTTTAAGGACTTCAGTCAGAAATCTGCATATGGACTGAAAGATTGAAGTGCAAGTTGTAGGGCAAGGGCAAATGCAATAACTGGAACTAAAACTCAAGTTCAAACCGGTTTCTGCGACTTGGACAAGCGATTGTTGTTACCATACAGGTCTGTTTGTAACGTGACGAGTTGCGAACATTCACTGGTACTACATGAGCAGGAGAGGCGCATCAAGAATAAACTGTTCGGCCAGCCTTACCACTTACACTTTTTAGAAAACAGCTAGGTAAGTGTGTCCAGAAAGCCAGATCTACTTAATCCCAGTAATTAATCACGTTGTGAGCCTGCATGACTAAGTTAAATAAATATTTGCGCATTTTATAACCGGATCTAATTGGATGTTTGTATCATGAAATTTGTATTGAACAAATAAGACTAATAAAATTGAAACTAAACATACCGTCCCCCGAGAAGCTTAAAAATGATTGAAATTTATATATATGAAATTTATATATCAAACGGACAAGGCCTTGCAAAAGTATCGCATCAATAAACGGAAATCATGATATCCTATTATTAACAAAAAACAACGGAGGAAACCAGAATATTCGTAAATTATATTCTCAAGACCGGATCGGTTATCATATGATGCGTTCTAATACAAGAAACCCAACAACTAAAACACCAAAGTATGTCATTTCCAATCGTTCAGTTATAGGCAGCCAAAGAATATCGGCCGATCCTTAGAAATTGGTAGGTTGGATTGATTGGCCAAAAATAAAACCCATAAAAACCAACCCAACTAGCAAACACCAAAGCTAGGCATTGATCAATCAGTTATATGGCGGCTAAGGATATAGTCGTGATCCTATGAAATTGTAGGTCGGATGATTACCAAAATAAACCCGTAGAAAATCCCAACTCAACTTAAAAAACAAAGTTATGGCATTTGATGTTCAGTTATAGGCAGCTATAATAATGGCCCATCGGCTCGTCCGACTAAACACCCAAAAAGACAACTTTGGAAAGTTTCAAGCAGATAGCTTAAAACGAGGGACAGTTGCGTAGAAAGACGGACAGACGGACAGACGGACAGGCTAGACGACTCTCCGGATGCGATCAAGAATATAAACTTATAGGGTCAAATGTCCCTCACTCGTTGCAAACTTTACTGAAATAAAACCCCAAGGGTATAAAAACAACAATAACAATTGTTTATCTAACAGTACTATGAACATGCCGCCAAACAATTTCCTGATTGTATCCTATCCTATAAAAGGGAGGAGTGACACCGTCTTCTCCAGAAATCGCTCACTGGCCCGGCTGTCAACTGCGGAGCGGGAAAACCAATTCATTTGAACTCTCACAAAAAAAAAAAAAAAAAAGTTTTGCGTTCTTACATATTGGAGTTTGCAATACAGGTTTCTTGCAGTTTTAACCTTCTTAAACATAGATGGGCCGGTGGCAGCATTACTTTTGTTCATAAATGCATATGAAACCTGATCAACATAGAAAGAGCAACTTTTTATACGAAAGAAATTAATTACGGATGCGAATAGGAAGGGAATCTGCGTGAGCATATTTATAATACAAGATTTGCAGTATGAGGAAACGTGGTTTCAGCATCATTACAGTTGGGTTACCAGGAGCTGAAGGGAAATGGCCGCGGCCCCATATGTTAAAATAATTAATGGATGAGAGGCAGTCACATCTGTATCGTTGCTGCAAGTGCCTCTCGTTCGGAGAAATGATTCAGATTGGAATTCGGCTTTCCTTCGCAATTCGTCACCTATAATGTGGTGACTAAAAGCAAGTCCAAGTCATTGGAAATTACAGAGGCAGCTTAGAATTAACATTAACAGCTCACTTGTCTACAATTTTCAAGTAAACACGAACTCGAACCAGCGAACAGCGATGTGGATGACTTTAAAGTAGGTTTTTGTTACGAATTTTGAATATATAATTAAAAAGATTAATCGAGGAAGAGACAGGATGAGATAGAGAGAGGTAGTCTGGTAAAGAAAGGGCCTCAAAGCCAGAGGAAGTACTGTAAAAATAAACCAGCGTAATCACGCATGTGTTAAAGAACCGAGTTGCGCATGCAATTCCCATCTTCGACATGCACTATTTGCCGAGGAGTAGAGAAGAGTTTGACCCAGAAGTCGAGACTTTCTGTGACGCTCTTTCTATCTTTCGCACGATATGTTTTGTGAATCTTTATATTAGTTCCTAATAATAATATTGTTTTATACATTAATTTTTCTTGTGATTTTTTTTCTCGGAGTTCATTTTTTTTTTTTTTTAATGTTTACAGACAACCGAGTTTAAAACAAAATGGACCAAATTTACCTAAGCAAAATGATTGGCACACTTGGGTTTTTAAGAACCATTTTTTTGTCACTATTTTCTGCCTTATCCCATTTGCCTCTATACTCTTAAATTAATGAAAACGTTGTTTGATTTTACAAAGTTAAAAGAAAAAAAAGAGATAACGCTACAGTCGGGTGCCCCGACTATCAGATACCCGTTACTCAGGTAAAGGGAGTGCGAGGGAGATGGAGATAGAAACTTTGATCACGCATAACTTTTTAACGAATGGTCCGATTTGAAAAATTTCTTCTACATTTCGATAGGTATTGATAAA